ACCCTAACCCTAACCCTAACCCTAACCCTAACCCTAACCCTAACCCTAACCCTAACCCTAACCCTAACCCTAACCCTAACCCTAACCCTAACCCTAAAACCTTAATATTAAAAAAACTAAATATATTCATTTTAATAATAAATAAAAAGATTAATATTACGTCGTAATAAAATGAAAAAGATTATATTATATTAAAAATATATAAAGTATTTAAAATATTATAATATAAAAAAATCATAAAATTATTTTAAATTACTTTTATAGTTTAAAAATAATTAAAATATATAAAAAAGATTTTAAAAAACGGAAGTTATTTATTAAAAATTTAAAAAGTAAATAAATTATTTTTGTTATAATAAAATTATTTTTTAAGTATTATACTTTTTTTATAAAAAAATAGTTTATATAGCCGACTTTGTTAATTAATAAAAAACTATATTAAAATTAAAAGTGGTTGAAAACTTAAAACTCGTATATATAAGGCTTTTAATCCGATATAAATATAATTTAATATTAATTTTTTATATATAAATTATCTATTTAATATTATATTAAGGCTTATAAAAATTTAAAAACTTTTATTAACTTTATATTATTTTTTGGTTTTTGTTTCTTAAAACCTAACCGTTCGGCTTTTAATTGATTAGCTTTGGCGCTTTTTGACATTCGGGTTATTATGTTGAATAATTAACGTCATTCAAATCATAAGGCCGTGATGATAATGGCTGCGATGCTCTCGCGTGCTAATAAAGTGCTTAAGAATATATTAAAGCTGCTAGCGAAAGCTTCAGCTCCCAAAGCCGCTGTGAATATAAACAGTCTTCTCGAGCCGTCTGTCTAAATCCAGGTCCTTATTGTTTGGTGTAGGTTTTCAAGCTGGTAGCGTGTTGACGTCAGCATTTAGGACAGAGCCCTCCGGCTGTTCCGGTAAGACATAGAATCTCGCTCGGGGTTTATTAACCGCGGCTATTCTGTACCAAGCGAGCCGACGGGATATTTATACTTTCAGTCCAGTCCTGTGATGCCAGAGACGAGACGAAGAGCGGCGCGGTCGGATGCTATTTTTCAATTCAGTTTCACATGTGAGAAATAACCTTTGGCATTTTGAGTCTTAGAGCCTGTCAAACGTTGTTGAGTAGTCTGGCTTGTGCGCACCGGGTCCTCGGACTCGCATCGAATTCGTAACCGTTTCACGAAGACAACTTAGCTGTTAATTAACGAGCTTAAATCATCTCGCAATCATGTGGTTTCTCAAGAATCAATGGTAATGATGACCTAGTGGATGTCCCCAAAAGGCAACTAGCCGCGAGCTCATTAGCTTCGACGGCAACTCAGTCCACGAGCGAACCCCGAACAGAACACAGACCTAAGCTGAATATATAAACGTCCAAGAGGAGAAGGCAACAACACTCTCAATAGTGCGTCCCACGGAAAAGAAAGCCAATCAGACAATTCGGATACGATCTTGAACATTATCAATCTCAACATGACGGAAACTTACAGGTCTACCATTGTCCTAGACGACGATAGTGCTGTCAAGAACATCCACAACCTTAACAGTAGAGTCGATCACTCCTTTGCCATTAAAGAACATTCCCAAGGGAACCCCCTCGTCTCCTCATGGCTTCCCACCGTTCAAGACACTCTCTCCTCACTCCTATGCTGGACAGGCTCCTACTCGTCCGAGTTGCGTGAGCACTATCTCAACTTCGCGCGTGAGATTGTGGTTCCCTGTCTCAACCCGCCTCGTGCGGCCGACTGGCCCCGCTATATCGGCTCGCACAATCATGGGCCTTACGAGCTAAGTATCGCTTTTGCACCTCAAAAAAAGGCCAAAGTGCGGTTTTCAATTCAGCCACTGGCGGATGGTAATTCTGTCGATGACCCCCTGGGGCAGAAGGATCTACGCAAGAAAATCGAGGACATGGCGTCCGCGTGCGACGCAGACCGCAAGCGGTTGAATACTTTTTTCGATTCAGTATTCCTCACTGATGAGGAGCTGGCCAACCTACTTGAAAAGCATGCTAGTCAAAACAACACGGCTGACGTGCTGCCGCAGCAGAACTGTATGGTTGCGTTCGATCTTGAACCCGGGAGCCCGGCCATTCATATGAAGCTGTACCTGTTTCCGCAGCTAAAAGCTCTCGCGACAGGCCGGGACCTGATGGACGCTACAGAGTCGATTCTAATGAGGCTTGCGGATGGTGACGAGGCGCTGCTAGCGTCCTGGAAAACGCTTCGAACGTTTCTCACCTCTGATGGGAAGGATAACCTCATACATTTCCTTGCCATCGACTGCGTGGGGCCCCATATGGAGCCTCGCTTCAAGGTCTACGCCCACACACACGTCAACTCACTCGCCTCAGCCCGCCGTGTCATCACCCTGGGTGGTCGGATCCCCTCACCCAAATTCCTAGATACTCTTTGGCCCCTTCTTATGGATATGGAAGACGTTCCTCTAGCCGAAAGGGACGGACTGCAGAAGCCGCTCCGCGAACCGGATAGCAAGTACTGCGGACTCAATCCCACATTTGAGCAGATGCCAGGAAATGCAACCCCAATAGTCAAGATGTACGTGCCCATTTGGCAATATGCGCGCGACGAGCCCGGGATCTTGCAGCGCTACCAGCGCTTGCTACAGACCCAAGGTTTGGGGCACTACGACATTGAAGCTGCTGCTCAATGCGTATTGTAAGTACTATACCCACAGCGGCAATCCTTCCAGTTACGTCAATGATTGTACGTAGTTACTAATTAGTTCAAAATAGCGGCGATGAGAGGGACAGAGGCCTGCACAACATGGCATCAATTGTTTCTACTGGAGGCGGAGAGGGCGCAGCATTCACTGCCTACCTTGGGCCAATTTTGTGGGAATAAGCTGGGTGTTGATCTACTAGGAGTTTACTGAGTTGTGGTATAGGTCGTGTGTCATGTTTCAAGTTGTCCTTGAGTGCGATTCGGAAGCTGCGTGAATTGCGAGAAGTTGAATTACAGCGAAAGCCTCTCTAAAAATTGTTAATGATGCTATTTACACCTCTCGACACACCTCCATGATTTCATGAAACTTGGAAGAATGGTTCTTGTGTAGCGCGAGTCTCTAAGCTGGTCTTGAATTAATAAAGACCACTGGTTCTATCTGGTTTGCGTGTTATTCATTCCTTGCCTTCTTAGTGAATGCTCTTTTGTGATAAATTCGGTAAGAGAAGTTTCGCTACGGAGCTTAACGACGAAGTCAGCCCGGCGCATCTCGCATAAAGCTAATGAATATAATATACAGATAATAACTAAGTACTTTTTATTAAACATAAACGATTTTATTATAAATAGAAATTCTATAAAAATATATAGTTTATAATAAGACAATCGTAAAACAATATAATAATAAATAATATAACTTAAGTAAAATATTAATTATCTAAGATAATATTTATTTATTCTATTTATTCAATTTTTATTAACTTTTTTTTTTTATTTTAATAAGTTATGTTTGTTTTATTAAATATTTTTTATTAACTTTATTATAGTTCGTTACGTTTATTAGGTTAGGTTAACGGTAATTATAATATAGAAGAATGATTGAGACATATAGAGATAATTATTAGTAAGTCGTTGTTCTGTGTGCCGGCCTTGCGGGTAGCGATAGCCTTGGCCTGGCGGGAAGTGTCTTTAATAAATACGACCTTATAGCGGGGGAACACTTGACTTTACCTTCACCTTAGTAGTTGCCACCGCTGCGTCGGAATACGGCGCGTCCGTGTCACTGCTCGTGGGCTTAGAGCCGGGCTGGGATCTCTTTGATCGTCGCAGCTGGGCGCACGTCAATAGCTTCCTTAGTCACGTGTCCGATCGCCGTAATTGCGAAGTAGGGACGACAGTGTCGCCTCTTGATGACTCTATAGACGTTGACGGCACACGTATGTGACAGCAAGGATAGATAAGTAGATCCAGAGTGGTTGGTTCGAACCTGGAAGGATAGCGTGGGAGACATAATCGTAACGGTAGTCCTGAGACAAGGATTGAAAAGTAATGCAAATTGAACCCTGATTACTTATTCCCCGGATTATTGGCGGCAAGTGGAGCCACAGCCCGGCCAGCCAGTCGGCACAGCCCGGCCCACAAAACTCAAACGAGAAGCAGTTCCCAAGATCGAAACGTTATCTTCTAAAAAGATACGACACCTACATTAGGTTTCCGCTAGTATTTTAGATAGAACGTTCATTATTCGCCAGGCTCATGTTTCTAACGCCAAGTAACTAAGTAAAAGACGAAGGGATCACTCTTGCGCCCCTCATTCTTTCAAAGACAGGGCTCCAAGTCTGCAACGTAGTTGTTTCCTGTGTGAAACCCGTTCCGTATATCTTACTAACATCATAAGGCCGGTCAAAGTCCATCCCCGACACCATAGCATGCTCCCATGTGGGAACCTGGAAAGGCCTTTCGGCAAAGCCGCGCTGTAGGTCATACTTCTTCTCCATGCTCTCCCACGCCTTGTGGTTTTCTTTGATGAAGGCCCTCATCTCGATCGGATCATCGGCTTCTAGCTTGACACCCTTCAGCCCGAAGTACGAGCAAATTGCAGGCCACCTTTCGCTCCAGGTAGACGGTTCCAACGAATCTGCTCCGTTATAGGCCTCACCCTTTTGTTGGCTGTATGGCGGGGTCAATGACACATGAATAGCCTGTCGGGCAAGCATGTCAGAGCTTGAGCTGCTCCAGATTGCTTTCCAGCTCTTCGCCGTTCCGGGATAAGGGCACTCAGCCCCCTCGCCATGAATTTCTCGGAACAGGCTGCAGAAGACGCCGATGGTTGCTGCGAGGTTGTAGGCGTTGTGGCCGGGAGCAAACCCAATGACGATATCAGGCCGAGTCTCACACCAACCCCACTTCTTGTCTGCCGCATAAGATTCCAACCACTCTAGTTGTGCGTAGTAAAACAGCTCGTCGCGAAACGGCTGAGGGATCATTGGCATATTCTCTTTGTAAGGGGGAAAAATGCCGTCTGTGGGACGGTCTTCCCCAAGGTGCAACCCGTAGTATCTGCCGCCATGTTGCAAGACGACAAATTCAAGCGTGGGGGCGAGGCTGTCTAAGGCCGTGATGGCTTGCCGCAGCAATTTCTCATTATCTCTGACCTCTTGGAGAGCGTCCGTCAAGCTCGCCTTGTAGGCTGGTTTTGCGTTAGTGTTGCTTGAATGAGAAGAAATAGAGTATTAAAAAGGTATTTTCAGCTCACCCAGGAAGTACGCATGGGTCACTTTTTCAATGCCCGGCACCTGGCTCTTCAACGTCGCCGTAAGTTCTTCCTGACTGGAGCCGAGGAGGTCCACGCCTGACACGATGCTCAGTCTCTCGGTGTTCGGCCAAACTAACTTCTCGCGAGAAAGGGGTCTGTTGAACAATGCATGGACCTGACCCCATGTGCCTTGCGAAGGATAATCGTTCAACAACTGGTTCACAAACGCCCAGCCAGAGACACCGCTGGCGCCGAAGACAATAGCCGACTTAGGAGCCATGTTGAAGGATACGGTGAGTAGAGAAGATGAACTGTTCAGAGATAATGCCAAGCCAGGGCATGTGCGGATGAGTCTTTATACTGTCGTTTGGTTAGGTTCCATTGAGAACTTTCGGTCGCGGACTTGAATAGGAGTCCGAAAGATCGGCACCCTGACTAAGGGGAATCCACATTGTAAGAAGGCAAGGGCCAGAAGTATTGAGGTATCTGGGACCCTAGTCGCCGTGTGAGGATCACAGGCACACATGCTTAAGCTACAGCCGGACTAAACCCGGAGTCCGCCTTCTACATACCTAATCTGAACGTTTCCAACCCTATCGACAAGACGTGGCAGGATATAAAGTAAGGCAATTTGAAGCCGATTACTTACCTACAGCCGATGCGAGGTCGAACAGCAATGCGAGCGAGTCAGACACACAGTGTGAAGAGTCCCCATTAATAACACTTGGCCTCTGCGTCCGTACCTGTAGCGGAATTCGTCTGAACAGCTTATCTGAACGGGCGCTCGTTCGAAGAGGACGGGATCGACAGATGTGACAGCAGCGAGACATAATACGACCATCTCGGACTCCAAAGTCTAGCCCGGTCTAGGAAAGACAAGGAGCCCCTGTAGCGGGTTTAGGTGCCGTCCGCCCCCATCTGTCGATCGCGGGTACTCCACATTATGCGCTGAAAAAGGGTTCGGGCGCCATCGGCCTCCGAAGTTTTTCCAATTTTCCTTATGTAAGCGGCTTAGGTTCCAGATTTCATGACTGCTGAATATTGAGACCCATGTCGTGTCTTGGCCACTGGTTGTCAACAACATGCAAGTTGTCTCAGACGCACAGTGTGGAGTTTTACTGGGCTTCCGTTTACGATAGTGAATCATCAGTTTGGTCTCGACAGATCAGGATCGTTGGGTCTCTGTCCTTGGCCGGACCGGTAATCTCAGCGGCACCCGGTGCTTGACCATGCATTCAGCCAACTGGAAGAGTAAACAGACTTGCTGGTTGATTGTTTCGGATTCTGTGCCCACAAGTTTCTAGAACCAGAAATTATAAATATTCCTCGTCCTTCCATCATTCAAGACCTCTTCTTAATCAGACATTACAAATCTTGCTCACATTACAAAATCATCTATCATCCTCTTACATCCTCTAACATGGCCATCTCTCAAGATCCCCAACGCGACCACCAGGCCGAAACGAAGACGGCAAAGCCAGTGCCAACTGAAATCAACTTCAAGACCAACACTATCGTCGATGGAGTCCTACGCTATCCTCCTATTGGTGTCAAAGCCGTCATCGTTGGTGGTGGAATTGCTGGGCTTTTCGCTGCCGTCGAGTGTTGGAGGAAAGGTCTCGAAGTGGTAGTCCTGGAGAAAGCCGATGAGGTCTCCATGCACGGTATTTCCTTGCATAATTCGCGGACCCTGGGTATTTTGTCACTAATCATTGATAGGTGACGTGATCGGCGTTGGCCCATCTGCATTGTCAACCCTCCAGAATTACCCAACCATGGTTCAAGAGTACAACGATATCGCATACAGCGCACATTGGCGTTTCTGCTTCGAAAATGGCGAGCCTTTCACTGAACCCTTCGAGTACGAATATAATGATGATGGACTGGCACAGCATGCCGCCTATCCTCTACGCATCAAGTCCATCATCAAGCGGTCAGACCTTGCCAAGATGTTGGCGGGCCAATGCGAGAGGTTTGGCATCCCCATCCACTTTGGCGTGTCTATCGCGGAATACGAGGAAGACGACACCACTGCAACGGCTATTTCCGAGGATGGTCGCCGCTTTTCTGGTGACGTCGTGATCGCTGCTGATGGCATCGGAACCAAGTCGCATGCTGTGGTACTGGGATATCCAACGCGGGCCAATAGCACGGGTTTTGTCAAGTTCCGCGCTGTCGTCCCCACGTCCAGTCTCGCCCATATTCCCATCGTGCAAAAAATCATGAACAAGGAGCAGAGGCCGGAAGTGCGTCTTTACATGGGTGGTTCGGAAGGCCGACACCATGCGGTGACTATTTTGCCAGACGTAGTCTGCTACGCCTCGGCAGTCAAGGTAAATACCCTCTCCATCAAGCATGTCGTTTTGCCTAACACCATTCTTAGGACAATGGCGGCGCATCTGAGTCCTGGTCTGGTCGCGTGGACGGTGCTTATGTGCTATCCCAAATGGACAACCTCGACAAGATTGATCCCCTCATCGTCGACGGATTCAAGGCATTGTCGTCAGACAAGTCAATTGTTCATTGGCTCTTGGCCATGCGCAATCCCCAGGGAAAATGGGTATCAAAGGGTGGTCGCATCGTGCAAGCTGGGGATAGCGCACACAGCTTTCTCCCGACCTCGGGCAGTGGTGCAACTACAGCTATCGAAAGCTCCCTTACTATTGCCGAATGCTTACGGCTTGGGGGTAGCAACGTCAGCCTTGCTACTAAAGTATACCAACTGCTCAGGTAAGTTCCCGTCTGGTTGGTTCTGATATGATTTCTGAGTTTTAATCTTTCACAGATACCAGCGCGTGTGTATCCTCCAGCAGACAGGCTTGCGGAATCGCCAGCAGATGTCTAGTCAACCCTCCAGTGATATCCTACGCCAGGGCAAGTGGCATTGGGCTCATCAACCAGAGACGTACGCAAGGGACAACTTCTCTAAGGCTCGGGCTCATATTGAGAACGACGCTCCGTTCGAGAACACGAACTTGCCCCCTGGCCACAAGTTCAAGGAGTGGTCACTTGAAGACGAAATGGCCAAGGAGCAGGCTGGTATCTTTTCAGCCGACTTGAAGACCAACGGAGACTGGGGCTTGGTTTAGTAGATTCAAGCTTTGCGGAGCTCGCGCTATAGAGTTGAAATTATGTTTCGTTAAATAAAGCTGTCTAGTGGTGTTTGTTTTCTATATGCTTGCGTGATAAAGGCAGAGAAAATAGTTTATAATATTCCTCTTTAATATTTTTGCTAAGCAATTATCGTAAAAGAGAAATCTTACTTAGCTACTTAAGTTAAAGGTTTATTAAAATATTACTTTAAAACTATATAGTTTTCAATATTTATTAAAATTATAATATTCTTTAGCCGTTATTAATAATAAACAGTTTATGCTTTGATAAACTCTTTTGATTATTTATATAAATTATAAAAGTAAATTTATTTTATTTAGCTTATCAAATTAAAATATATAGTATAGTATTAAAAGTTTATAATAAAAGTCTAAATCAAAAAGTTTAATTAAGATTAATTTATAAATAAGCCTTTAACTTTTAAATAATCTTTCTTATATTATTTTTTATTATTAATAAAAAACAATTTTATTTAAATTAAATAATAAGCCTTTATTATTTTTTATTAATATTTTTAAAAAAATATACCCTATTTAAGAGTTAATACTTTAAAATTAATAATCAAAAGCTATATAAATACGAATATTAATAAATAATAAGTTTTAAATATTATTAAATTATTAATAACTTGAAAAAAATCAATTTTATAAAACTAAAACTATAACTCATTAATATACTATAAAATAATTTAAAAGTCTTCTTTTAAAAATAAATTTTATTAAAGTATAATTATTTAACTTATATGAAATTAAATTTGAGTTAAAAAATAAGTATTATTGTAAGTCTTTACTATGGATTTAATAAGGGTTAATAAATAAAAGAATTATAAAATTTAAAAATTTATGATCAAAGTCTCTTATATAATAATATTTTATTTAAATTAACATTTAAATTTAATCCAAATTAAAAAGCTTTATAATCTACTAAAACTTTAGTTCATAATAAATAAGTTTTTTAAATATTAAGTAAATATTAATTTAGATAAAAAATTTCAGTTTAGTAGGTTCATTTGAGTTTGATATTTAAACTTCCGAATTTAATCTATAATAACGCCTATATGGACGGCGATATTTAGGGTTATAACCTAAGCATTACGAAATAAAAAGTGTTTTCTACTGAGCCATAAGGAATGAGTCTGATTTCCGTTCCTTGCAAGCATATCTTTTGTTACTGTTGTTCTATTCAACGCCAGCATGTCCTCTTGTACGGGAAACGGTGTGCGCGTCATTACCTAGCTAGCTATCCTACTAATCTAATTACAATACCATCTACGTCTTTGAGGGCATACCATATCTTGCTTGCACTCTCCCTTGATCCAGATACTCCGTGACCGCATTGTTCGCCTGGACTGGGTCATCCACATGCAGTAGCACGTGGTGGTCTGGCCTCACAATGATCCCTTTCCCTCTCTTGATTTCTGGGACCACCGTAAACCAAGTTTCGGGCAGACCAAGGCTTGCCACATCGATGGCCCAGTCGCAGGATGCGAACGCGGAATTGGCATAGTGCAGCACGGTGAATCTATCGTAGGGCACGAGGTCCAAGAGTGACAGCCCATTATTAATAGTCCCATGTGGCAGCCTTGCCCCAGGACACGCTCGTGGCACGTATGATTTGGGGTTATCAAGAAGAGCCCGCGTGCAGGATGCGTCGTCATATATGAAACCAAGCTGGAGGCCCAGCGAGTCAAAGTGCTTGCTCGCCTCCGTGACTGCTCCCGCTGCTGCAGCGGAAATGGCGGGCCGTTGGAGGAATGTATCCATGGCGAGATCCGGCGCTTGCGCCCTTGCTTCCTGATATTGAACAGCGAGGCCAACCAGTGTCATACTGACGGGGTAGAAAGCCGCCTCACTGGCCTTGGAGTACTCGATATTTGCTAGTGCAACGGGTTTACGCTCACGGGTGAAACTAGTGAGAAGGTGCGAGGTGCCTTTTCCCTGGATGATAGCAGCCAGCTTCCACACCAGGTTATGGGCATCGGCGATGCCCGTGTTAAGACCCAAACCACCATGAGGCGGCAAGCTGTGGGCTGCATCTCCTACAAGAAACAGTCGGTGCTTCGCGTCGCTATACGAGGATGCCACGCGAGGGGCTGTCTCCCAGGTGGTACGAAGAACCTCTGAATACTGTAGACCCGGGAGGCAGGCCTCGATAGATGGTGGCTTGGGTTGTCCGCCAGCTGAGGCGGGGTCCATGACAGGCGTCATGTGAACGAAGGAGGCGTCGAGATTCTGTGCGATGAACTCGCTGGGATGATCAGGGTGGAAGCAAAAGTAGAGCATAGCCTCGCGACCCGGCGGAAGCGCGGAGCGCAGACTGCCTTTGCAGACGATCGACTGGTAGACATGGCCTGTTCCCATGGACTCGAACTCGATACCGGCCATCTTGTTCCGCACGGTCGAGTGGACGCCGTCAGCGCCAATAACAAAATCGGCCCGAATGCTCTGTCTGTCTGCCGCGTGGCCTTGCTCCGTTACACTGCACGAGATGACGCAGCCAGCTTCCTCAGTCTCCGCGACATCGACTGCATCGACCTGCCAACCCCTCCTGACTTGAACGAGACCTGTTTTGGCTACCGCCTTCTCGAGCAGGCTCTCGAGCTCTGGCTGCGACCAGTTTACCAAGGGCTCGGGCGTCAGGCTGCTCATACTGTCGTCCTGGCGTTCGTACGGGAAGCAACCAATCTCGGTGTCGGCCAGGCCATAGACAAGACGCACCTGTCCGGCATCTTTAATCATGGCTGCATGCTTCCGGATATAGGCAACATCCAAATCGGCCTGGCGGAAGATCTCGAGCGTCGTCGGGTTGAGGGTGTGAGCTTTAGGGTGCTTCGATACGCTGTATCGCCTCTCCAAGACGACGCACTCGATCTTCTGACTGGCAAGTAGGTAGGCCGTGAACAAGCCCACCGGTCCTGCGCCTACAATAACGACACGCGTATTTTCCATTTTCTCCGTGAATGTTGATCTCACAGTACGTTAATTGATCGGTGTTGGATTCGCCGGTAGTTCGCGATAACTATTCACCAGTGTTGAAATGTGTACAAAGTGTGGAAATCTACATGCGTGTCCAGCGGCAAGATAAACTGGGATATATATTCCTCGAAGTGGCTAAGCGGCTGACCTCACCTTCCCAGGTGTAGCTGGCAGGCTCATGCTTTCCTGTCTCCTGCTGCCTCCGCTTACCTGATTGTCATTCGGTCGGAATCCTGCCAGGATTCTCGCGACAGATTTCCCCTTTGTGATTACACAGGTCGGTCTGCACGGACCAAAGCTTAACTTAACTCCTCGCCAGCGCTTGGCGGCCGAGAGGCAGGTCAAGGTACATTCCTTGTCGAATACGAACCTGACGTACGTCATTATCTTGATCCTGAATTTACAAGCAGTAAGTGTTGTTGCTGGATGTCTTGGAGTGACATGAATTGTGTGAGGGAACTGACGTCAAAATAGATCGCCAACTGTTACCAATGTAGGTTTAGCGTAGTAAACTTTACGCTGTGACCTTAGAGGTCTACTTTTAGGTTTCTCTAGAGCATACAGTAGCTCGACCAATTGATCAGTGCTCTATGAGGAAGGTTCCTCGTCGACAGATTCCCAGTGTCTTTTTCTGCCCAATGCCGCCCCATACCCCTCATATCCCTTGACACTTAGACTCTCGGAAAATTGGAAGAAAGTTTGTTATGCGTTGACACCACTCGTAAAGATTTATGCGGATTGAACTCTGTTTTCTTTTGTTCTTTTGGGTGCTGGGGCACTCTTTTGACAGGCGGGCCGGAAATTCTATTCGGATGGTCGCATCCATTACCTCCAGCTGTCTACACACTCTGCCAATACCTAAACGTCAGCGAACTACTTTCTTGCTGTTTGAAGTTTCAGGGTTGGTTTCATCTCACACCGATGCTGGGCAATAGTGAGCGGCCTTTGACGCAAATTTTCCTCCCCTACCTTTACAGTTTGCTATTATTTAGATTCTATCTCAACAGTCACTGAGGCATGCTCAAGCTCTCGATTGGAAGTATTCAATGTTGGGTACTAGCGTATGGTTACACATCTTGAATATATATCTTGAACAAGACGCGGTAATGAGAGTGAATCTTGACGCTAATTCTTTGTCTTTCAGAATAATTATTGAAGGTCAACATTGTATCTCGCCTAACGTTTCGTTTTTATTTTTCCAGATCAAGCAGTCCGGAGGGCTGTAGTTAAACTAAGTGAACTATTTTCCACACGGGTATCAGCAGCTGAACACACCTGCATCTTGGTCACCGGCCATGGCTACCAAATTCCCTGCAGAAAATATGGCAGAGAACGGGCGGCCAGTATTACGATCTTCGCGTCGGGCTCGCTCTCGCTCCTCCCTCGTGAGCTATCCGGGTATTCCCAGCGGCGACCGGGCCCAATCTGTGCACATTTCCGCAGATGAATACAAGACCATTACAGATCTCGTTGAGTTGGCCAAGAAATTTCTCGAGAAGCAACAAAGCGACGACATCTCGACCTCGTCGACCGAAAGTAGCTCTTTTGACGTCTCCAAGCCTCCAAAGGAAGGCGGGCCCCTCGACCCCTTTAGCACCAACTTCGACGCCCGGGAATGGGCCAAGTCCTTTTATCGCCTCCGCTCTGAGAGCTGCCAGGTGCGCAAGGCGGGTGTGGCCTTTCGCAATCTGAGCATTTTGGGCTACGGGTCCGACACGGCGTTCCAGAAAACGGTGGGCAATGCGTGGTGGCTCAAGGCCGTCGCGGCTGTGCGTGGGTTGTTACGTATGAAGCGTCAACAGGTGCGCATCCTGCATGATCTCGAGGGGGTGGTTAACGACGGCGAGATGCTGTGTGTACTGGGTCCGCCGGGCAGTGGATGTTCGACATTCCTGCGGACGATCGCTGGAGACACGCAAGGCACGCAGATGGGGGAGAATGCCTACCTTAACTATCGCGGCGTGAGTGCCGATGAGATGAAGCGCTATTTCAAGGGCGACGCCATCTACACTGCCGAGGAGGACGTTCATTTTCCGACCCTCTCGGTAGCGGACACGCTCTTCTTTGCCGCACAAGCGAGGGCGCCTAAGACCCGTCCCGGGGGGCTCACGACGGACGAGTACGCACGGTGGGTGCGCGACGTGACCATGGCCATGTTGGGGATTCAGCACACGATGCAGACACCCGTCGGCGGCACGGACGGCGACACGGTGCGTGGGGTGTCGGGCGGCGAGCGCAAGCGCGTAAGCATTGCCGAGGCGGCGCTGAGCTTTGCACCGATCCAGTGCTGGGACAATAGCACGCGAGGGCTCGACAGTGCCGCGACTGTCGATCTCTGCAAGACCCTACGAGTCCAGAGTGACATCATGGGCATGGTGAGCGCGGTGGCCATCTATCAGACCCCGCAGAAGGCCTACGAGATGTTTGACAAGGTCCTGGTTCTCTATGAGGGACGACAGATTTACTTTGGCAAGACGACGAAAGCCAAAGCCTATTTCCAGCGGTTGGGCTTCGTCTGTCCAGGGAACCAAACGACGCCGGATTTTCTGACGTCCATGACCAGCCCAGCCGAACGTCAGGGTATCGTCAAGCCGGGCTACGAGGCAAAAGTCCCGCGCACCTCTGATGAGTTTGCCGAGGCGTGGCGAACAAGCAGCCTCCGGCACCAGCTCAGTCAGGAAGTGGATGCCTATGATGCATCCTTTGGCTTGAACAGTTCGCGCACCCACTATGCCGACTTCCTGGCGAGCAAGAAAAGCGACCAGTCATTGCTGCAGCGATGGAAGTCACCCTATACCATCTCGTATCCACGGCAAGTTTTACTGTGTCTGTGGCGCGCCCTCGCGCTGCTCAAGGCTGCGCCGCAGATGATGGTGTCGATGTTCATCATCAACTTGTTCCAAGCGCTCATCGTGGCCAGCGTCTTCTTCCGGCTGTCCGACACGGCCGAGTCCATGAAGGCGCGCAGCACGCTCCTTTTTACGGCTGCACTGGTTAATGCCTTTGGGTGCGTGCTCGAGGTGTCGGCGTTGTACGCCAAGCGCGCCATCGTCGAGAAGCATGTACGATATGCCCTGTATCACGCCTCGGCCGAGGCCATTGCAGACCTGGTCATGAGCTTGCCTTACAAGCTGCTCAACGCCATTATGGTCAACACCATATTCTACTGGATGTGTAACATGCGCACGGAAGCCGGAGCCTTTTTATTCTTTGTGCTGGCCCAGTTCGCCATGACGCTATCTGTGAGCTTGCTTTTCAGGCTCCTTGCTTCTGTGACCAAGAGCCACGCGGAGGCCATGGCACCGTCGACCATAGTTCTGCTTGCGCTGGCGCTATACACTGGTTTCGCGGTCCCGCCGATGTATTACAAGCCGTATGCTAGGTGGATTGCCACGCTCAGCCCCGTGGCGTATGGATTCGAGGCCCTCATGATCAACGAGTTCGGTAACGGGCGCAACTTTCCATGTACGGCCTTTGTACCATCTGGACCGACCTATGACGATGCGGGTATGACAGCCCAGACGCACGTGTGTGCCGCCCAAGGGGGTGTCGCGGGCGCCACATTGATTGACGGGAGCGCGTACATCACCGGTGCGTTTGGGTATCGGGACAGTCATCGTTGGCGGAATGTCGGAATCATTTTTGCGTTCGCGGCGGCCTACTTCGTGCTGCATCTCGTTGCCACAGAATTGGTAATAAGCAAGAAGAGCAAACACGAGGTGCTTGTTTTCCCAAGGGGAAAGGTTTCGATGAGGCGGGCAAGAGACGTGGAGGACCACACCACCAAGGGATGGACAGAGGCACCGAACACGACCACGAGCACGCCCACGGCTTCCATATCCGGCATGCCTGTTGTGCCCGTCTCTACGAAAGGGGGCCATGGGGAAAATGAGATTGCGGGCATGTATCCGTACACTCATGGTGGTTCTCCGACGACAATGAGGACTAGCAAGGTGTACTATAGGGCTTCTGCTAGCAGAAGCAGGATTCCTACGGGCAAGACCCGGAACTCGCCAGCGCAGGAGCGAGACAGGTTTGAGAACCGTAGCGGCGGCAATGATGATAACGACGAGTGGGGCATCGACCGCCAGACGGCCATCTTCCACTGGCGCAATGTCTGTTACGATGTCAAGGCCAAGAAGAATGAGACGAAGCGCATTTTGGATTGTGTGGATGGATGGTGTGAGCCGGGAACGCTCACTGCGCTCATGGGCGTATCGGGCGCCGGCAAGACCACTCTCCTCGACGCCCTCGCCTCGCGCCTGTCCACCGGCGTGGTGACGGGCGAGATGCTGGTCGACGGCGCCCCGCGCGACGCATCCTTCCAGCAAAAGACGGGCTACGTCAAGCAGCAAGACCAGCACCTCCTCACGTCGACGGTACGTGAGGCCCTCACTTTCAGCGCCGTCCTCCGCCAGCCGGCTCGGTTTTCCCATAAGGAAAAGGTTGCGTATGTCGACAAGATCATTGACATTCTGGGCATGGAAGAGTACGCAGATGCCGTCGTTGGCGTGCCCGGAGAGGGTCTGAATGTTGAACAGCGAAAAAAACTGACCATTGGTGTTGAGCTGGCCGCCCGTCCAGCACTTCTTCTATTTTTGGATGAGCCCACCTCGGGTTTAGATTCGCAGACGAGCTTGTCGATTTGCACTTTGCTCGAGACACTGAGGGAGAGTGGGCAGGCTATCTTGTGCACGATTCATCAGCCGTCAGCAATTGTGAGGTTTTTCCCTCTCCCGCTTAGGCGCTTCTCCTTGTTCCCTCTGCTATCAAAAGTACACTGCTAATATGATATGGGATCGAACACCAGCTGTTTGAGCGGTTCGACAGGCTCCTTCTCCTTGCCCACGGCGGACGGACTGTCTACTTTGGCCAGATTGGACGCAACGCCAACGTTCTGGTCAACTATTTCATCCGCCATGGCGGGCCACGTCCTCACAAGGGGCAGAACCCCGCCGAGTACATTCTCGACCAAGTCCGCGCCAGCGGGAATGGGAAAAACGCCATAGACTGGCCCGACACATGGCGGCAGAGCACCGAGTTTGAAGAGGTCAAGGCCTACCTGGCCCAGCTGAAAGGAAGAGAGCATGCCGCGAGGTCGCAGCGCACGAAACAACAGCAGCAGGACGATCCCCCCTTCGCTGCTCCCTTGGCCATCCAGCTCTCCGAGGTGACCAGGCGTTTGGCCCGACATAATTGGCGCTCCCCGAGCTATATCTATGCAAAGATACTGTTGACATTTGGCGCAGCCCTCTTCATCGGCCTCTCGCTGCTCAACCTGCCCAACACGCAGGTGGGCATCACGATTCAGACCATCGCTATCTTCATGTTCCTCACGACGCACCTTAATCTGGTACAACAGATTGTACCCGTCTTCGTGGCGCAGCGCACGCTCTATGAGGGTCGTGAGCAGCCCTCACGCACGTACTCGTGGGCCGCATTTATGGGGGGGCAGATAGCCGTCGAGATGGCCTACAACGCGGTCATGGCTGCGCCAGCGTTCCTGGCATGGTACTATCTCGTCGGGCTGAACCGCAACGCGGCAGAGACCAACGACGTAGCCCCGCGTGGCGGGCTAGCTTTTTTATTCATGCTCGTCTTCTTCCTGCAGGCCAGCACCTTTGCGCACATGATCGGGGCGTGGTTCGACCTCGCCGACCAGGCCGCCGGCATCGGCACTCTTATATTTCTCGTAATGTTCATCTTCAACGGCATTCTCGCGACGCCGCCTCGCTTCTGGGTTTGGGTGTATCGCGTTAATCCGTTCACTTACCTCGCCGAGGGGCTATTGGTCACAGGGCTCGCGAATGCGGGCATACACTGCGAGAAGAACGAGTTTCTGCGCATGAATCCGCCACCCGGGCAGACTTGCGGCCAGTACTTGCAGACATACATCGCCCAGGCGGGCGGATATCTTGCTGACCCGGCCGCCGCCGGAAATTGCAGTTTCTGTCCGACGAGCAACACAAATGAGGTGTTGTCTGGGGTGCATGTTGAGTTCCGCAATCGCTGGCGCGACTTGGGCATCTTGTTTGCGTTCGTTTTTTTCAACGCCATAGCTGCCTTTGCTTTATACTGGATCCGTGTGCCCAAGCCCAAGAAAGAGAAAGAGGTCAAAAAATCATCAACATCACGCCAAGATGGCAGCAATACAAAACCTCCTGCAGAGACTCGGGATAATCTCACATGGAAAGAAGCGCGAGGCGGTGCTGAAAATGGTTCGCCAAAGCTTCCGTGGGACAAGGCTGAGAAACGGGCGAGCAAATCCTTCCAGGCCACCCATGCCAGGAAGGTATTGGGAACGCTTCGGTCGTCCATCAGCGGCAGTATACAGGGGCTCGGGGGCAGTGGCAAGAGGTATTGGGACGATAATTTGGATGATACTGACGATACTCAGGCACTTGATCATGAAGTAGAAGGACATGAGGAGGGACGGAAAGAGGAGGATTTGAGTGAGGGTGAAGAGTGGGATCAGGACGTCCCTATAGGCTATTTCTCGATGCAAAAAATGCCGGCGACTCCTCAATATTGGATTTGATAATAGATGAATCATGTGGTTGATTAAAAATCATGGAGAACTAGATTTCCTTGTCATCCTGAAGAGCACATCTGAACTAATACGCGTGGTTCAAGCAAGGTATATCTACTACAATCCATTGTAGCTACCAACCAGTCTCGCCCTTGTTTCCCATCCCGGCATAATCAGTCAAGGCATTGAGACTTCAAAAAAAATTTACAATGGAAAAAGAAATATTTTCCTTTCTGGGGGTGCAGTCATGAGACTGTATTTGTGTGCGCCTAGCTATAAGGTTCTGGTATAATGTGAGATTTTTTCCGCACCTTGGGGATGATTGTGGGGCTTTATCCGTGCCTCTAGGAGCGTCACTGTGGGAAACTAGGCGTTGGATCTTTGGACATGCGACTGATTTTTTCCGAGACAAAATAGAAAGAAATTATATTCAACAAGTTTGGCAGCTCTCGGCTGGGTACTACCGATCGCTGGTCGTGGCCATCTACACATCCTCCTTCAACCGACACTCAATGACATTCCCCAGACCACGGCAAATCCACACCTTCGTAATCTTTAAGCCAGCCGCCCCAACAACATTACTCAAGTCATCGAAAGTTCTCTGACGACCGTTGGCGCTGACGGCCAGAACGAATCCCGAGATGAGCCCCATGGCCTGAAACTCGCCATAATTCTTCAGCAACGGGGATGGCGCATCGGGTAGCAGGGTGTCGCCGCACGTCGGGTGCATCATGTACTCGCCGATGAGCAAGCGTGACTTTCCGGGCGCCATGGCGTTCTTGATGTGCGTGAATATCGTGGTCAAGTCGTCGTTCTGCCAGTCCACAATGACAGACCGGAACCAGTACACATCGGCGCCCTTGACGGGATTCTCATCAAAAAAGTTGTGCGCGGTGAGCTTGACCGCGCCCGTGGCTAACGCCTGCGGGTCCGTCTTTTGCCAGTAGGACGTGGCGTGCTCGATCATGCCGGGCAGGTCTTGAACGATGCCGACAAAGTCGTTCTGGAGGTCGGGGAAGTTGGTCCGCAAGGCCTGAATCGAGCTGCCGATTCCGCCGCCGACGTCGACGATCACGGCGCCATTTCGAAGGGTTAATTCCCAAGGGTACCCGCGCACGTCGGTCAGCCCGTGCAGGTACTCGCTCGTCGAGGCGAGCCAGAGATTGAAGCAGTCACGCCACTCGGTGTGCGCGTTCAGGTATTCTATCAGGCCCATGCCGTTGCCGACGCTCTTGGAGAAGGCTGAGTCTCGTGGTGCGTAGCTAGCACAGAGAACCGGGTCCTTAAGGAGGCTCGGAAGCACGTCGGCCGCGGGGAAGACGAAGGAGGCGTAGCGCACCGAGTTGGCGAGGCACTCGTCGGTCGCGAGGGCGGTCGACGCCTCATCGTTGGCGAAGACGTCGAGGGTCGTCTCGGTGAAGACGTGGTGCGCGCACAGGGTCCGCATCACGAGCCCCAGCTTGCCCGTGTCGACAACGCCCGTCTTGGAGGCGAGGGCTTCGAGGCGCATGGGACCATTGGTCTCCAGCAGCTGGGGTATCTCCCACTCGACGGCCATGTGCAGCGCGCGAGACACGTGGTAGCTGTGAGCCAGGTGGCCGAGGCGCCACTGGGGCGTCAACACGGCCGCCGTGATCGAGGCCGTGGCGGCGATGATGCGCTTGCGGGCCTCCTCTGCCTTGTGATTTCTCGGGATGCGAATATCTTGATGGTCTGATGTGGCTTTGTTGCGTGCTTTGGACTCGGTAGACGAAGACGAGGAGAGTTCGGCGATGAGGTCGTTGGTTGAGGTGGTTAGTACGTCCAGAAGGGAGCGGAGGTGGGTGATTTGTTGTTCTGCGGTAGCCATGTTGATTGACGATTACGATTTTCTTTTCCCTCTTACTTTCCACGGGTGCAATTGTTCTGTGTATCAACCTTTTTGTTTTCGCCTGCTTCACTGCCTTTTCAGAGGTCGAGGTAATTGCAAGTAGCTTTGCAAGTTAAGATGTGACTTGAAGTTTCAATTGTGACAACTGTGATTAATGTTAGAGAGGCGGACGTTTTTTGGCGTTTTATATTCGGAATTGCTTGTATTCAGATCTAATGTAGTAATTAGAAATAGTATTTATGTTCTCTGCAAGGCATATGAGCGGGAGAGCTAGGTCCGAAACTCAGTTCCGAGCGATTGAGTTGCAGGTGGCTTTGAAGTTAAGGTATATCAAAGATTTTGTGACATTAGAGATGACGCAATTCTTAGTCTTTCGTATGTGTGGTCGGAGTGACTGCAGCAGAGGAGCTAGTGGTGCTCATGTATTGCACGATTGGGAAGTCTACTCTATGACATAGCATTCTCACAAATTCAGGAATAGATGTGCCCTAATTATGCCCATGATACTGTGGCATCGTCGGCATTGTCGTGCTTTGGTAGATTCAGAGAAGAATACAGCATGTTGCTCCTGCGCTCGTTGACAGAGCCTCGCAAATACACCATACTTCGGTCGGGCCAAGGCGGTAAGAACCAGATACCGGCGGCGGAAGGGACGATTACCACAAGTTCAAAAGACATGCTTCGGTGAGTTCCCCGCCATTCCGACGAAGCGTTCTATTAAGGTTAAGGTCCGTGAGACCTTCGGCTTTACAAACCGCTCACCAAAACTTGATTATTCCACCAGTTTGCCGAGATGGTCCCAACGAAACCCTAAATTCCGCATGAAACTTGTTTTTATACCTCGAGCCCAGCTCTGTCTTCGTGTGCGTATTCGCTCTTCATGAATCACTTTGCTTCTGAACATCGTCATTTTACCTATGCCGACCCAGTGATAGTTCAAAAGAGGCAACTCGGTGCGAACTTCGGCATTGAACACATACGCCGCCAAAAGCAGTGGCCTGAATAAACTCCAAATAGGGACCTCGGGTCAGGACTTCGGATCATGCTAGATCCCCAAAGATAAGAAGTCGTCATCAAAGCGGAGACAGACAATTCGAGTACGAGTATCAGCCAGAAAGGCAGCTAGGATGCCAAAGTGGACAGTCAGAATACCATTACGGACACCAATATACTCAACATGGAAAATCACCACTCGACCACAGTTCCACAGGCCAACGGCACCACCAAGAGAAACATCTACAACGAAGTCGACGATTCCACGTCTTCCAAAGGAGGCCCTCTCGTCTCCTCATGGCTTCCCGCCCTCCAGAACACCATCTCCTCGCTCCTAAACTGGACGGGCTCCTACCCGGCCCACATTCAGGACTCCCATCTCACCTTTGTGCGTGAGGCCGTGGTCCCCCGCCTCAAGCAACCACCTACCACGTCTGATAGGCTGCACTACATTCTGACGCACAACCAATCGCCGTACGAAGCAAGCGTCGCCTTTGCATCTCACAAAATGGCCAAAGTGCGGTTTACGGTGCAGCCGCTGGTGGATCCTAGCCCTGCGGGAGACGATCCCCTGGGACAGAAGGGACTGCGCGAGAAGCTAGAGGGCCTGGCGTCTACTTGCGGTGCAGACCGTGTCTGGATGGATGCCTTTGTCGATTCTGTCTTCCTTACTGCCGAAGAGGAGGCGGGCTTGGTCGAAAGGGAGATCAACGGTGGCAGTGAAGCTACTGCTACTGATGCGTTGCCGCGGCAGATTTGCTATGCTGGGTTCGATCTCGAGCCCGACGAGGCCGAGAATGGGGAAGCGGCCATCGGCATGAAGGTGTATTTGTTCCCGCAACTCCAAGCTCTTGCAACGGGCCGGAAACTTGTGGATATCACCGAGTCCGTTGTGACACGACTTGCCGAGGGCGATAAGGAGATGTTGGCCGGGTGGGAACTGCTCAGATCGTTTCTGGTCTCCCACGGCGAGGACAACATCAACATATACTTCCTCGCCATCGACTGCCTTGCGCCCTACATGGAGCCTCGCTTCAAGGTATACGTTCACACCCATGCCAACTCGCTCGCCTCGGCCCGCCACGTCTTCACCATGGGCGGCCGCCTTCCGCCTTCCTCCGCGGACTTTTTACCACAAGTCTGGCCCCTACTCATGGACATGGAAGACGTTCCCCAGGACGACATGGACCTCCTAGAAAAGCCGCTAAACGAGCCGGACAGTAAGTACTGCGGGCTTTGCTTCGCTTTCGAGTTGAGTCCGGGCAAGTCAGTCCCGCAAGTCAAGATTTACGTGCCCATATGGCAGTACTCGCGGGACGAGGCCGGGCTCGTGGAGCGCTACGAGCGCTTACTCCGTACGCAAGGGATGATTATTGGGGATAGCGACTTTGGAGCTGCTGTTCAAGACGCCTTGTGAGTACTATTCTTGCTGCCGGTTTTTATCTAGGCGCTTGCATTCTCGTTAATGCTAACTTGTAAATCTTTTTCAATCCACAAAGCGAGAACGAGAGAGAGACAGGCCTACATACCATGGTATCGGTTTCCTCTTCTGCGAAGGGTGTAGGGCTTAGCACATACTTTGGGCCAAGGTTTTGGGAGAGAGCTTTCATTGGTCGACTTCATAGGAATCAAGGCAATCGTTACCTTACAGTCGTGAAATAAATGCTTTGAGGAGATCTGTTGATTTGGCTCTCTAAAGCTGTGAAGCTGGAAAACAATGAAAATGTATTTCAACATATACGCCCCAGTTTGTTATGGGATCATCACTTACACGAGGCTGCGCAGAAGGTTGAGCTATTCCGAGGGATCTGGGCTGTTTCGTTGGAAAAGTTGAATGAAGGACATTCCATGTTTGATAAACATGGTGCGACGACAAGATCAGAGATATTACAGAGGAAAGTATGACTGACAACGTCATGAACTACTTGAAGATATCGTGAGCCTCCAAATGGGTGTGACTAAGACGCACCCACTTATGTGAGGTCGATCGGCTGAATCGCTAACCCTAAATCATAGCGGGCGTCATTCACAACACGTCATATTTTCATTAATAGTGATTGGATTGATTTACTTATTAAACAGAAGACATTGAAAATATGAAACCGTTAGCAAAACTTTCTTTACATTTTACATTTTGAGTACAGTTTGAGTTTCACGGAGCCTGCATAACTTGGCGAGGTACCAACTTCACCCACAGCGGGTGCTTGTCCCAGATCCCGTAACTGTTCTGGTCCAACCAGTCAAAGCTAGGGTCAGCCAATTCAAGGTCAAAATTGTACAACAGACTGGCCATGATGAGCCTCATCTCGGGGTACGCAAGACTGCGTGAAAGTTGGCCAATAATTAGCACCTTTAACACAGAGGTAGAGACACATCACTCAAGAGAGGAGAGAGAAAACAAATAACTCACTTCTTGCCAATACAGTCTCTCGGCCCCGCCGAAAATACCTTGACGCACTCCCTCCGATCCCCAGCAAACTTGGCGGGCCGGTCGTTGTCGTCCAACCACCGCTCCGGCACGAATTCCTCGGGATTGACGAAGTTGTCCGGATGATGTGCAATCGCGTACAGAGAGATATCGACACGCGTGCCCTCTGGCACGTAGCGCCCGCAGACTACACGACCCCCCCGGGGTACCATGCGCGGCATGGGCGTCGGCGCGGGCGGATACAGGCGCATGGCCTCCTCGATACACGCGTTGAGGTATGGTAGCTTGCGTAGGCCAGTGAAGGTCATGTCCTCTTGAGGGTCTTTGATGGCAGCGTCGAGCTCGGCGCGTAGCGTGGCCATCTTGGCCGGGTGCGTGAGCAGTAGGTAGCTCAGGGCCGACGTGGCGGCCGTGGTGGTCTCGGTGCCGCCGATCATGAACGTCGCGGCGTTGGAATACATCTCGGCGCGGGTGATGCCGGGCCGCTTCTCGTCACCACTATTCTGCATGATCATCGACCAGACGTCGCTGCCCGAGTGGTCACCGCGGTCCAGGCGCTTGTCGACGCGGTCCATGGAAAAGCGGTTGTGCCGGGCGCGGCGCTCAACATTGTCGCCCCAGATGTATTTGAGGAGCAGCGGCCCCAGGGGCGGGTGCCAGCCCATCATGGCCATGCCGAGCGTAACCGTCTTGATGGTCGAGTACGTGTCGCGTACCCACTGCCGCGCCGCTTGGTCGCTCTCGAGCATGCCGAGCGGCTCGCCGTACATGAGATCGCCCATGATGTCAAAAGCTAGGTAGCTCAGCCAGGTCACGAGGTCGACGCGGCCATGAGAAGAAGCAGGCTCCCCATCCTCTTCAGCCAGCTTGCACATCAAGTTGCGGACATGACTCTGCACCAGACTCTCCTGCTTGAGCACGGCACGGTCAGAAAAGGCATGTGAGAAGATACGGCGCTGCCGCTGATGGTTGGCGTCGTCGGCGCGCACGATACCATTCTCGGGCGCTGCCATGTCCGGCCCCAGCCCGACAAAGTCCTTGGGTATGTCGCCCCCGCCGCCGGCCTTGGCATAGATGTCGTGCCAGGCATCGGGATGGCTGTAGCTCAGCTCGTTGGGGCCGATGCGTACAATGTGTCCGTACTTTTTATGAAGGAGCAGCGGCCAGCTGTGGTTGGTACCATGGGCGCGGTGCCAGAGCGATGTGATGGTGGTGATGCGTGCGAGCAGCGGCCCTGGGTATCCTGATAGAGGATGGAGGGTCAGGTAATAGATGGTCCGTAGCACAAAAATTCCGAGGATGGCTGAGCCGAAGCTCCATAGGAGCAGCTGGAAGTCCCACAGGTTTGCTACGTGAATGTAGGAAGGTATGTCCAGAATCATGATGACCTTGTTGGTGGGCCCTGGACCAAACTACTTTGCTAGTTGTGTTCTCGCTTATTGACTTTTCTTCGTTCCGGTTTCTTCAAGTGGTAGTTATTCTCCGCACAACAAGACGGATACGAGGAATGAGAAGACACTGTCGTCACTGTCCCGGCTTCTCCACATGACAAATATGACAAGTTTACCTAATAAGGCTTACTTACGCGGTGACTCTAACAATGCAAAAGCGAGCATCCCAGAACAGGATTTCCCGAAACTCGTATTATTCGATAAGCTCCGATCTTGAAAGTGACGTGGTTCGCATAGTCCGAAAGATCCGAAAGATCATTTTGACGTAGCCGGCGCCGGCCGTACGGCAATGCGGTAGAACCTCCTGGCATTCTTCCGAACTTGATCAGAGGCTCTAGAGCTTTCTCGCAAGATTTCCTACAGTGTGAGACCCAATCCGGAGATTATAAAAAAAGTATGATTTCCTAAACCTAGCGGCTAAACCTAAACACGTACAGTCCCCAATTTGGATAAAAGACTCGATCGGATGACATACATTGTGTAGAACCATACGTGCTCAAGCCTGGGCCAATGCACGACACATACTCGCAATCGTCTCGCTCGCCATTTTGGTTGCAGGTGGACTTTCGGACGGCGGTTGGCCCATTGGGCACTGCCGAGCCTGCTTGTCTGCGTGGGCTGAACGACCACTACGTAATGTATTTATGCCAGTCCGTCGTAGGTATCATCCGATACAAAACACCTCCCAATTAGAACAAAAGTGTAATGATGTCTTCGAGGCTATTTTCGAGTTGAGACCATTGGTGCTACAAACTTCCAAGCGCTGTCGGTAATGTACCTGTTACGCAGCAAGATTGACAAAAAATGCCTCTCTCCATGTGCCCGCATTGAATGTATATATATCTGTCTGTGTAAACTTACCTGTTCATAAGATTCATGAAGAACCGACTGAACCAAGCACTCGGGTATTTGATCTTTGAGAATAATTAAGGCAACGTGTCTTGCTATCTTTGGCGAGCTGGAAACGTTGATACCGCCTCCCCATTCGTCTTGTTGCGACGACTGTAAATCCCACTTTGTCTATTAGTTATAATTTCCACTTTATTTGTTGATGCCCCCTTTCATTACCATGCCGGTCTTTCAAAACCCTCCAACACCACCTTCGCCCCTCACACCACCATTATCCTCTCCCTCGTGGGAGAAGGCGAAGCAAGATGTGGTCAAGTGCATGACATCTTCATCGCCGTCACTTTCAATTTCGCTCAGTGCCCAAAAACCATCTGGAAGCATAGGCCTCATCACGCCACCTGAGACTCCAGTGAGGAAACAAGATGCTGCAAGCACAACAATCGAAACGGTGATCGATTGCCCTATTTCCAGGGCGAGTTTTCTGCTTGCTCAAGCCTCTCTGGCAACGGAGCTGTTCGGAAGCTCATCAACGACCGAATTCAAGTTCCGGGACCCGGGGTCACTGCGAGCGGGGACGGGAACGCGAACACTCCGATTCGGCACGGGCCTTGATGGATGTTTCAATCGCACCAGGGGCTTCCTGGGAGGTCAGGAACCTCATCAGAATCACGACACCACCCGTAGTGATGCCCCGGCACTCTCAGGCCAACGCCTACCAGCGTCCCTGGAGGCATGGGAGGTGGTTCATGGAAGTCTGCCGCGGTTACTCCGAGCGCGACGAGTGCGTCAAGCCGTCGACGCCTTGGGCGAGCGCGCGGCAGGAGAGAGACACGCGTGGGATAACTTGGAACAGCGCCATCTAGCGCGAGCAGCGCTGGTGCTGAGCGCGCTGGCTCACGCGTACATGTTTGGCGAGGAGCAAGGCAAGGGCAAGGAGAACCCTAGACGGCCGCAGCTACCGCGCCATGTCCTCGATACGTGGGAGAGGGTTTGCACGAAGTTGGGCAGAACTTTGACTGGGCGGGTAAGTACGGATGGATATATACTCGAACCACATAATCTACGCAGGACATGAGCTGACGTTTGTTCTACGCTACGACAGGTGCCCGCCGACGACGTTCTCAACAACGCCGTGGGCAATGACACGTTCAGCCTGAACAGTACCTACTTTGGCCTTCCGGAGGAAAGGCTCTCCTCGGGACTCCAGGGCACGATGGAGGCCGTTTTTGCGCCCGCGCTCTCGGCCATGGCGCTCGCGCAGAGCGGCGTGCTGGCCGACCAGCCCGACCAGGTCGCGCATTGTCTGGAAAGTCTGGCGGCGCGCATCGTAAAGTGCGCCCACGTGTTGGAGGCCATAACGCCGCGCGACACGGCGCACTTTGACCCCGTCGTCTGGATCAAGACGTATCCCGCCATGGGCCGCGCGGTGACGTCGGGCGAGCTGGGAAACAGCGGTGTCGATGCACCGCTGTTCCATGCGCTGGACGCATTCATCGGCCGACAAGACGTCAAAGGCGACTTGAAGGGGATGCAGAGCGACCGACGGGCCACGCTGCCGGCCAACATTCTCGCCTTCCTGGATGCCCTTGGTGACGGGGCCGGGAGTGTCAGGGACTATGTCGCTGCTGCCCGTGCTCGGCAACAGCATCTGCCCACTGAAGAGCAGTCGCAATACCAGCATCTCTCGGCGGCGTGGGACGGGCTTTTACAAATGTACGTCTGGTTTCTCGAGCGGCACCGTGTCAAGGCCGTTGGTGTTACGGGCGTAACCCTCAACACGGGATTACACTCGACAAGTAGCGGCGTCATGAGCGGCGACCAGAAAAAAGCAGCGGCACCAGGGAAACCAAAGATGAGCCCCGATGCCATGCTCAGCATGCAAATGAAGAAGGGTATGGCGTCACGGCTGGGTGGGCGGCCGCTATGGCAGGACGCGCAAGTGCAGTCGCAGAGAGTGTACCAGGACAGCGTGGTGGTGGCCGTAAAGTTGGATGCGAATTTGCCGCTTGAGCCGGGCGATCGAGTGCAAGTCTGGCCGCCGAGAAAGAGGAAGAAGCTCAACAGAACACTTTCGTACCAGCGACGGTCGCGGGCCTCCTCCCCCCCAGATGATCACGATGCGTCGCCAAGCAAGAATGACGATGATGCTGAGCCGAGATTCTACTCCGTCGCCAGTGCCACGCCAGAAGCGGCTGATGGGGTGACAGACTCAGGGGGGGGAGGAGGAGGAGGAGGAAGAGGAGGTATGACCATCACTCTGACTGTCGGCCAACACTCGCCTGAGGGACTGGTTTCCTCGTTCCTTAGCAGCGCCGCTCAAGGCACACATCTGCGTCTTCGTCCCTGGCCTGCTCCGCGTTTCCGCCAGCCACGCGACCTTGCCGTGCCGCTGGTTCTGGTTGGTCAGGGCAGCGGCGTTGGCCCCTTGGTCGGCTTTCTGCAAGAGCGGGCGGAATGGCTACAACGGCTCGATGATGACCAAGACGAGATTGGTGAGGTAGGCGATCTGCTGCTCGTGGTCGCTGCCAGAACACGCCGCCATGTCCCCTGTCCACTCGACAGCCTGGAGCAACTGACCAGGGCCTTGCCATTGGCCATAGTCTTGGCTCTCAGCCAGGACGCACACTTCATGATCCGCGATGGAACCTGGACTCAGCTCCCCCGGGGAGAAGGGCATGTCACCCGCCATTTGGTAGAGTACCGAGATTTTGTCCAGCGGCTGGTCAAAGAAAAGGGCGGCCACGTCTATGTCTGCGGCAGCTCCGACTTTGGGGATACAGTAATGAGCAATCTTGGGCTGGGCCGTCCGCAACACCAGCAGCAGCAAGAACGACAACAAGCAAAAGGTGCAAATGAAGAGTGCTACGATGACAACCGCACACAAATGCCCTCATCTCCAGCGTATTGGAACCAACTGCACGAAGATCTCTCTACCACTGTGCAAAGACCTTCCATCTCACGATATTCTCACTCTTCCTCTTCCTTGTCCCACTTGTCCTCACCCCCAGCAAGCCCCAAAACCCCCGTCATCGGTGCCTCCAACCTCGCAACCCACAACTCCATCACCTCGTGCTGGACCGCCATCGACGGAACAGTCTACGACATGACGCCTTTCCTAGCCACCCACCCGGGAGGACCGAAAACGCTCCTTGAGTCTGCAGGCACCATTGCCGACGCGCGCTTTGCCGAAACGCACGGTGGGCCGCACGCCCAGGAGATCAGGGCCTATCTCCAGCACTATGCCGTCGGGCGTCTGTCCACAGCTACCACAGACACTCGGACGCAGATGACCACGGCAAAACTTATCGATGTCCTCGTCAGGATGCAAAATGCGCTCACCAATAATAGCGCGTTTGACGCAAATCGTGGGTCGGTGCCAATGTACGTGTACGAGGATGCCTTGCCCGTGTTCGCCGATGGCCTAGACGACGTGGTAGGCACCTTGCCAGACATTGCCACCGACAATCACTCCTTGGAGCTGAGAGAAGCCATAACAAACACGCAGGTGCTGTTGAGAAAGGCTTTCACAGCTCTGAAAGATGGGTGTAAGCAGCACTTGATAGGCACTGGACCTGGCCCCAAGGATTCCAGCACCCCCACCTCAACATTGCTTGAAATGAGCGAGGTTTTGATCCAGAGCTTTTACAAGGAGCCCACCAGAAAGGTGCATGCGGCTATCAATGCTTGTAAGAAGGGTATCAGCGAGATTGAGTCAGTGGCAGAGGCGGACAGCGGTGACGGCATCTGTGATTCTTTTGAAGACGCATGTGCTGAGGTACTAAAGCGTGTCTTGGAGAAGTTTTGCACGAGTCTAACAAGCGTTGCCGACGACTTGCTCTATGTTATGGCGGTGGCTGCGGATCACGGTGGAGTCGCGGAGTTTCCGCAGCGCGGCATTAACGAACGGAAAGTATTCGAAGAACGTAACCTGCCAAGCCACACATAGACTTCCAACCTACCAGACCTATTAATAGACTAGCACGCGTGCCTATAGCAATAGACATTTTGCCTTTGATCACCTAATACTCCACCGTTGACACCGTGATAACCTCCCCCAACCCAGATTCGGTTTTCTGCCTAATTAGATAATCCACAGCTGCCGGATTCACCTGTAGTACACTTCATTACACCTTTCTTTATTGTAAACCTTTTTAAATGAATGATATCGGAGCGCCACATGTGGCGCTGCCTAGTATCCTGCCACCGAATATCGCTTACCCCAGAACGACTGCTCCGTAGGCTCGCTCCGTATGGCGTATAAATCCACGATCCCGTGCAAGGGCTTCTCTTAGCTGAATCAAGCCACTTACTATTGAATATGCCTTCCGCTCGATGGTTTGCTTTGGGAATATAAATGGTATCAATTGCAGAATTTGAAGTGCTTGACCTAACTTCAATGAACAATTGTAGCTACCTTTTGTTATCAAAGATTAGTAACTTTATTTTGGTCTCACTGTGGGAACTCAAACAGAGCAGCATTCCACTGCTGGCTTCCTGGCTGTGTGGGTGGTTTGCTGGCTCATGCATTGAATACAAAAGGACTAGATAGAGGTCGCCCTGCGTTGACTGGCTATAGACAATCCAGTGTTTTTCTGGCAACTCTTTATAATCTGACAGGTTAGGGCTTTCAGACGTGCCCCTTCCCCCCGGTAAACACACCAAGGAGCTGCTTGCAAGGAGTACTATTGAACCCACTCACATCTCTACCAATTCATCGAATCCTGTTGTGCCTACTTCGTTCGTTGCATTTCGAGAGATGAAATAGCTACCACCGCTCTGAATCACCTCGTTGACGAAGTAGATGCAGAAGATCATGAAGTCAGCAAGCCACTGCACTTATAATCTTCGCCAGCTGGTGCGATCGGTCGTTTGTTGACGCAAGGCAGCCGATTATTCCTTTAAAAGACATACGCGCTGATCAAGTTGTAAAGAATCATAGACTTTAACAGTCTTTCGGACATGTCATGTATGGTCTTGAATGTGCTTGAATAGTGTGCAGCGCGATTCTCTATCGGTGGCCGTGCCCTATGGCTTATATACTGCAAACTCGATCCGTCGTAGGTGTTAGAAATGAAATACTAGCCCACGAACTATTTTTCCCAACGTTTAGTGCCATAATCAAAGGGATCACTTGAAATTTTGATGTGATATCATGCTATCTTGCCCCGGTCGTGTCTGATTTGTGTTACAACTACCTTGGCTCAATCTTGCGTCTAGATCAAAACCCCCTTTCGGCCCCGGAGCTTTAAGGAGATGATTTAAGCACTGTGAGAACGGCTTTGGGGATAGTAAGACCTACGTAATCAAAACACAATAAGCCGCTTGTGAAAGCAATGCTATTATCAGGGCGGGTTGGTACACAAGTGAAGAAATCAGTAATAGGACACTTAACGGAGGGATCTCGAGGTAGGTATTGGTAGTTTGCAGCATTCGAGTCTGGCTGGGCCCCTGCGAAGGCTCTAAAGAAGGGTTTCATATCCCTAATATGACTATTAGTAACCCACCAGAGGGCACCCTTGTCAGGCACCTGACAACTGTAGTTAAACTTGACAATGGGAGCCAGCGAGGTGTAGTTAGGGTCTTTCCGAGGCACTTGGCCGTTTTACCGGCAATGGTGGCCAAAGGAGCTATTTATCCAGATCGGACCAGCCTGATTGACTGGATATTTAACCACCACCAGATTTACCCAACTTTAAGCACGAAAAATCCGTTCAAAACTTTCTTTTGCATGAAGTCCCAAAGTTGAAGGCGTGATGGGACGAGTAATCAAGTCGCACCCCGCCCTGGCAGAATTCCATTGGAGGACTCCACTAGCGCACGCCCTTGCGATGACTTACCGAATTAACAAGGGCGTCCGCCAATTTGCGAAGTGATAGGTAAGCATAGCACATAGTAGATACTAAAGTTGCCCGTCTTCCATCAGAATCTTGGTGATATCCGAGTGAAGTTACCACACACTACAGATTATAGCTTTCATCATCAAAAAGTTCCTCGACGACAGTCAAAGCTCCTCCATCATCATGCGCCCTGCATCCAGCACGCCTACGGCGCTCATCCTAATTGACATTCAAGAGGGCTTCAAGCATCCTACCCACTGGGGACAGTCACGTAGCACGCCAAAATTCGAATCTAATGTCGAGACGCTTCTGGCCACTGCGCGCAGATACAACGATGCGGCCAAGGCATCCCCGGCTTTACAAAAGACTTCGGTTCTTGTGCTTCATGTCCACCATCAATCCCTATCACCCACATCAGTCCTCCACCCGTCACACTATCTCGAAGGCTCATCAACACCGTCTACAACGCCTCTGCCGTTCGTAGCGCCCCTCGACCAAGAACTCGTATTTAAGAAGCAGTTCAACAGCGCTTTCATCGGCACTGCGCTCGAGGCGACACTCAAGTCCGCCGGTATCCGGCAACTCGTAGTCGTCGGGTTAACAACAGACCACTGCGTGAGCACCACGACGCGAATGGCGGCCAACCTTCAAGTTCTAGGCGACGATGGAGGGCCAGATGGCAACGGACATGATGTACAAGGCATACTAGTAGTACGGGATGCGGTTGCCACATACGAAAAGGGTGGGTTTGACGCCGAAACTGTGCATGCTGTCAACCTGGCTAGCCTGGATGGAGAGTTTGCGAAAGTTGTAAGCACCGACGAGGTTTTGACGAGTGTGTTGAATATGTAATTTCAAGTACATAATACATAAAACGCATCGTTTATACATCGATCACGAAATAATACCGAAGCAAAAATCGCAGGTTCGCCAAGTTCAAGGTTCCGTACCTGCGTGGCCCAGGAACCACCGGCCCCACCACGGGAGTTCCTATCGATAAGCCTCAGCGGGTCCGGAGCCGGCGGTAAACCCTGGCAGAATATTTGCTCCACGAAGTGAAGCCTCGTCGCATTCGCGACCTCCCCGTACCTCTCAATGCACGACTCAACACTCCAAGCTTCCCATACCCCACACAGATGCTGCTCACTTTATGTCGCACGTGGGTACGTTCTTCTTCCTCACGATGCCTGGTACAGACAGCCGGTAGACGCGCCGCTTCGACCAAGGCCACCAAGGCCGTCTTCGCCCAATCCATTTTCAAAGAGACGACCCCGACAGCGTCAGCGCTGGCCCAGACGGGTATCTGGACGACAAAGCCACGGGCAAAGAAGGGAGAAACAGTTAAAAATGTCGCGGCTCAATCCAAGACAAAGAAAAAGGTTAAAGGGGACAAGTCGCGTGTCAACATTGTGGACGAGAAGCTATGTGGTGCGGTCACGACGCCCGGACCCAGGCGCATGGCAGATGAATATGCTAATCCGGGTTGCTGCCAGACGACATCCTAAAATACATAGGGCCTACACTCGAAAGACATGTGGGCTGCGACTTGGTCGACATCAACCCGGGTGCCGGCGTCTGGAGCCGCAAGCTCCAAGAGGTGCTTCAACCGCGCTCCCACATCCTCATGGAACCCGACGAAGACCTGTACCGACCCTTCCTTGAACCGTTACTCGCCCATTCAAATACGCAAGTGAAAGCCCAGTCTGGAATCCTTTGGAATGAGCTCAACGAGGTGCTCGGCCACATCCAGAACCAGACCCCTCGGCCAAGGGGCTCTGGTATCGAGCCTACGCGCAACGACACACTCCTCGTGACGGCGAACCTCTCTTTCTACCCCAAGAAGCGTTACCGCAACTTCGATTCCGTCGCATCACTCGTGCTCTTCCAGCTCATTAGCAGCATCCGCACCGGCGCGCTTTTTCAAAAATACGGCCTCGTACGCATGCTGGTGTGGACTAATAACGACGATCAGCGCTCGTTCCTGGCAAGGAACCTGCAAGGCCGGCGCAAGTCGGCGCTTGAGGCCGAGTTCGCGTGCGAATGGCTCGGCGTGGTCGCCGGCAAGGAAGCGCACGCGAACTCGGACTCCAAGAGAGAGGCCTGGCACGTTCGCGATCGGTGGATCGACGTTGATAGCACGAAGGACACGCTGGCGAGGATGAGAAAGAATGGATTTGAGATGCCGGAAGGACGAAAACTGGATTCTACAAAGCAGGCTGAACAAGGCGCCATCAGCACTGGGCGTCACGCAGGCGAGCAAACGCCGTATCTCAGCCGGCCGTACATGGCGGAGCTCAAGGAGCTGGAAGGAGAGTTGGCGGCCGGCACACTCGAGACGTCGAATACGTCAAAGCCCTGGAAACGCCTTAAATTTCTGCGGCACCAAGTGAAATCCCACGAAGAGGATGCCGAAAACAACAAAAATCTTGTGGCGGAGATGTACGAGCTCAACCGGCTGCGCATGACCAAGGCCATCTCGGACGCGGAACTGGACGAGCGCGAGCGGGCGTGGGACGCCAAGGTCTCGGCGCTGGGCAAGAACTTTCTCATCGACTTCCGTATTATCCGTGACAACTTGCATGTCTTTCGGCAGGACCCGCCGGTGATGCTTTGGGACCGGCGTCCCTACGAGCCGCTCGCCGTCAAGCCGGCAGAGTTCTTTCCCAATGTCGAGTGCTGCCTGCTGGACATCCAGCCAAAGGCCATGCACCCTCTGCTCCGGCAGTCCGGGCCGGGCACGTCGAGAGCGGGCGACATGTTTGAACTGTTCCGGGGGTCGATGCTGGCTCAGGGCCTGGAGCCCGTCAGTAAGTCTCTCGAGCGCATCTGGCCCGGGGCTTCGGAGGGCATCCTGCCAAACTGCCCCAGCCTGCGGGACCCGGCGCAGGGCGGGCTGGCTGGCAAGGGGCATGGGGAGCTCTGCTCCAGGGTCCTGAATGAAACGCAATGGACTGAGTTGCTGGAGGCGTTCATGGCGTGGCCATTTCGGCCATCGTACGAGGAGATGATTGGGCGGCTGGCGGACGACATCGAGCCCGCGGATGACGATAACGGCGGCGGCAGCAGCATGTCGACGGATGCGGCACTGTCGTAAGGGGATTCAGGAGGAGAGAAAGCAGCGATCTTGTGATACCCCAGGATCGGCGGAAGCCGCGGGTAGCACCCAGGATTGACTATGCATGTACGATTAGTCAACCTCCCTGTAACTTTGTATGATGTAAAAGTAGCATATATCTTGTAAGTAAGTGTACCATAATAGTATCACAAGAAAAATATGAAGTGGTGGAGGGTTATTTGCCGATCATACGTTAACGGCCGGGGTATTGCGTTGAGCCACTCCAAGTCGGGACAGGTGAAAATGACGGCAACCTCGTTTTCATCTTCGCTGAGTTGAATCGGGTAGAGACGAGGGAGGAAATTCCCCTGCTCGCATTGTATTCTTACTCAGCCCCCAGACTCCAGTCGCATGGATGCGCGTACTTCTTTAGTCTGGAGTATTCGAGCAGCGGGGTGCGCTCGTTCGACGAGGTTACTCCGGTTCGAGACAACCATCATTCGCAGCCATTGTTCAGGAAAAATGTGGGACGCGAGCGATATGCCGTGATCTATCGGGGACACCTCGAAGCAGTCGCACGTTGTCCGTAGTCGATGCCTCGTCCGTATCTATCCGGCATAATGCGGAAGCTCGACGATACCTATATTCCCCTCCGGATTTCCCTGACCGAATTTGGCCGCTCGGCAGACGGCGTGTGGCAGACGGTGTAGCATACAAAAAATATGCCCAGGTCGGCACCGCCGTTCACCGCTGGAGCGGAAAATGAGGTGAAGCGGAGGCTAATCTGTCATGTCATTGGGAGATACGGATACGGCGTCATAGTCAAGGTCCCAGAACGAGGCTCGAGAGGTGGTTGGGATCGACAGGGGAGGGGATGGATAGCAAGCTGCGGAGGGGAGAGGGAGAACGCGCAAGCCGCGTCGCGGGTCGAGGGCCAGATAGATGGACAATGACGACACTGGACGGGGATGAGTTTTTTTCGAGGGGAGAGAGCCCGAGAGCGTCGTCGGGTCTTGATGGCAGTATATGACGGTAAATAAAGATATTGTATCCGTAGTAGCGTGAGAAATTGCCAGGAAAACAGTTTGGTGAAGGCTTGCGCAAACAACCTGGGAAACATACGAGATTGTGATTGGAATGTCGGATGAGCAAGTTCTTCAGTAGGCAATGCTGCCGTAGTCATGTCGCAGTTCGAATACACGCGTCGCCCTGCATGTCACTCTGCTGAGTATGCTTGGTTCACTCTTGATGCATGAGATACATACATGATGAGTGGTGTACGGAGACTTTGGTAGTCCACGACTCCACACAGTACTCGACTCCTCACTCTCAAACACGATACCAAGACTGATCCCGCGTGTGGTTTCGAGATGATGGAGAATCTGATCGTCTGTACAGAGTACTACCTACTATGTATGGTATGATGGGCAAGTTTAATCCCTGGCCGTGTATTGCGGGCAGCGATCCACTGGTCGTGAAATGCTGCAACACGAAGAGAGAAGTACGGAGTACTGCTGCTTAGATAATCTGTTGAGCACCCTCATTCCCTGTAGACACTTGGCAGGGTTTTACTTTGGCCCGCAACCGCAGTATTCAAACTTCAAAGCACAGCCATGATCCATTGACGGCGTTGCCGCAATTCGGTTTCTCATACAACGACGAGATGACACAGGTACTCAATTCCGGGGATGGAGAGACAGGACTGGGGGAACAGGTGGAATCTCGGCTCTTTGTTGCATCTCAATTGGATTGACAGTGGAACCGGACCGGACGAGACGGCGACTCACTCCCCATCCCCCATCATCTCTCATTTCCATCGAGAAGCCCACACTCCACAGCCACGGCCGAGGCCCATCTGTGAGATGATGCGAGGTGGTTTGAGGTGATGTGTATATATGTGTGTGTGTGTGTGCGCGCGCGCGCGCGCGCTCCTCTGTCTGTCTGTGGTTATGACGGATAGGCTGGCGAGAGGCAAAGGACACGTTTCCATTATTGCATACACTTGCTAGAGGTGTCTGAAGCGATTGTGCTCTGGGTGGCAGAGGCAGGGAGGGCCAAGCCGAGGGAGTACTCGAGATATCTAGAGTGAAGCCAGATTCAAGACAGACTCATGGGCGGTCCTCACATGTCGCTAAGATGAGTGAGTGGGAGATTAGTGTAGAGACATTCATGAGACTCGATGTGCTCAGGAGGTGACTGGATTGATGAGTGAGTAGGTAGGTATCCGTAAGGTGAGCGCAGTTCGTGAGGTGGGTGAGTGGATTATTGGCCCCCCTGCCTGTCAGTCGAGGCGCTGGGAGAATCGCTAGCTCCAGCCTCTAGGGCCAATACCGAGCGCCGGGCAGCACGTTGCCCCTTACTGTTAGACTAGTAGAGGTAGCGCGTGCCGGCGCCAGAAGACGTCACGGTGGAGGCCGTTAGGTGCACATGTATCGACACTCGCAAGAGATCACAACCATTATACCTTTTGGCTGGCGCAGCTATGGGCAAAAGTGTACTGTGACTTTGCTTCCCCCGTGGCAGCGCCAGGTCATGTCTCTGAGGAACCGTTGACTCGGGCGCACCTCCTAGTATGCCCCTCCTCCCGAGTCCCAAACGGTATAGATTCTCTAGCGCCTTGCTCCTTCCCGCAGCCTCCTTAGTACTTACCCCTGGGCCCTGGCGTGAGTGTCCTTTGTCTGAATGTTTTGTGTTTCGTCAATTCTGCTCTTTGGTGTGCCTCACCTCAGGAGACGTAGTATCTGTTTCACACCGAGGCATCTTGCATAACCTCGAAGTACCTTACAGAGTAGTCGACGGATGTCCAAGACTACCTAGGTAATCGGCAATTAGAGTGTTCCATTAGCCTGAGCATAGTCGTGCCCTGGACTCCTGTTCATTGGACGCTGTTTGAGTTGTCGTGACAAACAGTACCTTAGGGGCAGCATGTTGCCCTGCCCCCTTTTCGTCTTGATTCAGTTCGAGTATACTTCGTGCTCCCGTAGAACCAAACCTGCCTTCTCGTCTTGATGCATCCCCGGCCTGTCGTCTCTTGGCTCCCAGCTTCAATCCCGACCCTCCCCTCCATTCTTGACGCAACTCCAAACTTCACCGTCTATTCGCAGCACGGAAACCAAAGAAATCCGACTGACACAAGTTGTCTGCTGACGAACCGAGATTTGCATTATCCGTCCAAGTTCAATCTCTCCTTGTCGGGAAAGAAACCCTCAGAGACATTACGGAAGACGTCCAACTCCAAGCTATCCAAGGTGCCGACAAACGGCGAAACCAGAAACCACCTCACCTCACGTCTCCAAAACGGTGGCATCAGCCTGTAGAAAGACGCAGCTAAAGCTTGACCCGAAGAAAAAGAGACCCGAGCATCCTGGGGATCCCCATGCTCATTTGAAACTGGCCTGGGCCTTACCCTCTTGCCAGTTTCCCCCACCGCCTACCGCCTACCGCCTACCGCCCACCGCCCAATCGCTCGGCAGCATCTTCAACCCACAGCAGCAACATCCGCATTATCATCATCGTCTGCATCTGCATCTGGACCTGCATCAAGCATCCGCCGCGCCACACCACGCACATCCCGTCCATTCCCATACTCATACTCGTCCTCATCCTCATCCTCGCTCGGTGACGTCTCTCCTGGAGTCTGCCTCTCACTGCTGCTCCCCCTCTTCTTCTTCTTCTCCTTCCTCTTCCTGCTCATCCTTCCCGCCATATCCCGTATCATCCAATCCGCACCTCCAAATTTACAGTCCACACGTCCTGGGCCCCATTCGTCCAACCATCCACCTCTCTCAGACATCAAACCTTGGCTCACACCTCAGATCAGCATATCCACGTTCGCCCATCCCACTTAGCTCTCGTAGGCCCTTCCCAGCGGCCGCTCTCTGCGTATTGCATCCCGCATCCCAATCCGAGCAAGGACCTAGTAACTTGGACCAGTCTGCCGTAGCTTGGTCTCCCACCGCACCGACTTGACCGTCCATTGACACTCCCGGCGAACGAGCCCTCTGCGCGAAGACGCCTCTTCTCTGTTCCGACTTCCCATCCCGACCTTCCCGTCCGCCTATCCTCGTTCAATGGCACGTTTGTGATCATCCGGCCGTCTTCCCTCCCCAGCGGTCAAGCTTTTTCTTCTGTCGCTCCCTTGCTTTATTATTTTTTCGATCCAATCCAATACAACTCGGCCGGTCTTTTGAACCTCGTTTTCGACCTCGCGGTGCCTCACATTGTGGGATCCTTCGAATTTCTGTTGACCACCTCGAATCGTTGCTCGCAAACCTCGACTGCAGAATCCTTTTGACCGACACCAAGATCCCGCCTCCGCGCGTCGAGCGCCCCCTCCCGATTCAACACTGCTGCTCGCCAGTTGAACTGGCCTGGCTGAGCCGGCCGCCAGGTCAACCCCCCTTTCCTCCGATATTCGAACCATCCTCCCGCTCGAGTCGATCGTCGGCCGAGGAGCAGATTGCGACCACATTCTACCTCTGTCATCCCTCACGCTCGCGACTCCGCGACCGCCGCACACCATGGTGAAGTTGATTTCGCCATCCTTTCCGCCCCGGCGGCCTTCAAGCTTTCTCCGCTACGCCGCCGCCGTCATATTTTTTGTAGCCCTCTTCTACTACTTCGACCCACGATACCCAAGAGAACCCTTGACACCGCTTCGACCAGAAAAGCCAGAGCAACCACCTTCAACACCGAACTCGCGGCCTCCAGTCCAGGCTGGGGGTGCCGAAAAGCCGATCCCTCGACCCGAGACGACGCCGATACCGCCGACAGACAAACAAGCAGCATCAACAGCCAAGCCTCCCCCGGGGGGTGCTTCCAATCCCGAGGTGGTCGCCAACCCGTCAAAAGAACATCCAATTGATACCCTGATCAAGGAGGCCGACGAGATGTTCAATGACTTGCTAAAGAAGGAGTCCAAGACGCTGCCTGCCGCGGCCAAGGCCTACCGCGAGCGACGTGGTCGCCATCCCCCACCGGGCTTTGACGCCTGGTTCCAATTCGCCCAGGACCGCAAGGCCGTCATCGTGGAGGACTTTTTCGACCAGATCTACCACGACCTTCGACCGTTCTGGGGCCTTGAGCCATCGCGCATCCGAAAAGAGGCGGCCGAATGGGAGATGGTTATCAAAGTGCGCAAGGGACGAGCGACCCGTGTGAGCGACTGGTTCTGGACGATCCACTGGACAGACATGCTCAAGACAATCGAGCACCTGCTACCCGATATGGACATTGCCCTGAATCCGATGGACGAGCCACGAATGGTGGTGCCGTACGAGGACATGGAACAGCATTTGAGGGACGCTGCCCTGACGGAAGGGATACCGGAACCGAAAATGGTTATGAACACATTCCAGGCCCTGCCTAGCAATAAAAAGGAACTCGACCGCAACGTCAAGGTCAAGAGCAAGCACTGGGACAAAGTCACGAGTATGTGCCCTTCCCTCCCCTTCTCTCCCCCACACACTCGTCTTGACATGTCAACCTTAAATCTTACCCTGACGTTCACGTACAGAACAATATTGGCTCATTGCCCGTCGGGGTTGCCCCCCCGACAGTCCTGCCCGACTGGCGAAGACGCAAATGACCTTTAATCATCCCCCCGCCGTCTCAACAAAGTACGCCACGCCGCATATGCGCGACGGCTTCGTCGCCAACTACACCCTCTCGACCCAAATCTGTCACCAGCCTGACCTACAAGGCCTCAATGGCATCTTCATTGAGCCCCTCAGCACAGCGGCCACGCCCGTACTGTTCCCCATGTTCGGCGGTTCCAAGCTGGCTGTCAACAACGAGATCCTCCTGCCTGCGGCCATGTACTGGACGGAGGAAGAACGGTTCAGCGGCGGCGGGTACCATGGCGGGCCCTGGAGCAGGAAGCAAGACTCGGTGCTCTGGCGCGGTGTCGCGACGGGCGGGCGCAACCGTGTGGATAATTGGCAAGGTTTCCAGCGCCACCGATTCGTGGCCATGAACAACGCCACAAAGGTCACGGGCGCCGAGGACGGCACGATGGACCCCATCAACTTTTCTCTTCCGGACAAGATGTACAACCTCGCCGCGCAGGCGGTGGGCGGGCTGGGCGACTGGATAAAGTCGTGGGCCAACGTCGGATTCACAGATCTCATGTGCGAGCCCGAGGGCAAGGCCGGCATGTGCAACTACACCAGCCCCTACTTCGATGTCATCGACGGCGTCATGCTCTCCGAAATGTACGACAGCAAGTACCTACCCGACGTTGACGGCAACAGCTTCTCGGGCCGGTACCTCGCGTTCCTGGGCAGCACGAGTCTCCCCATCAAGTCGACATTATGGCGGGAATGGCACGACAGCCGGCTGGTGGCGTGGAAGCACTTTGTGCCGATGGACACGCGGTACAATGAATACTACGGCATCATGGAATACTTTGTGGGATACGGCGACGAGAGGCCGGGCCACGACGCTGAGGCGGAGAAAATTGCCATGGACGGCAAGGCGTGGGCGGAGAAGGCGCTGCGCAAGGAGGACATGCAGATCTATACGCTGCGGTTGCTCCTCGAGTACGCGCGCGTCACAGACGAGAGGAGGGAGAGAATGGGCTGGGTGCACGATTTGCTGGCGGAGCAAACGTCGACGTGAGGGCATAAGGCAAGGTTCGTTCGTCGTCGTAAGGATACCACATTGCGGGATACGGAAATTCAAAAGGCATGGCGTTTTTCTATTTTGATTTGGTTTCCTGGGGGAGTTTTGGGTGGAACATGCAAGGGGCCCCCCTACTTGCCCTTGTCGTCTTTGTGTGTTTTTGAAACTTTCGTCTACGGATACCACTGGGACACTCTCGAATGGGAGAATTAGAGGGCATGAGATCAATCATGATTATAGGTTCATCATAGGTACGGTGTACAATTACTACAGCATTATCCAGCAGCTTCTCATTGCTCTACATAGATGAGTGGCGAAGATGGTTGTGGGAGCCGCACACATGTTGAGCATTTGAGGATCAAGGACTACGTAGCTAGTTCGGGACTCGGGAGACGATCCCGCAGGCCGAAGATGCCGCTCTAAGCTGATGTCCACGGCGGGTGAGCCAAGCAAAGCTGGACGTGAGCCTGGATAACTTTAGACATTGTGAGTACCCGGGCAGGGTAGATGTCGGGAACCTGATCCGACATTTATTTCTTCTCTTTTCTCCCCCGATATCGAGCAACGTCCACGTTCGCGGCTCACCACACTTGTCCATGCAGATCATAGTGAGGTCACTTGATCACCTCAACAGCACGCGGGAGGAGGGGCGGAAGGGGGTCCACGAGTCATAAGTCTAAACCGCCTAGACGATTACGCGATGATAAGGCAATTTCGACACTGGACAAGACGCCTCTTTTACGTAAAGCCAGGGAGCGTCCTTGCTTTCCCACGCGAGGGGAAAATCGGGATGGACCATGGAGACAAGCAGATGAGTTCCTGTACGTGCGCCTGTAGCTGACGGGTTGACACTCATCATCTTTACCTTTAAGCCATCCCAAAGTATCTTAGGATATAAGCAAACAGGACGTTGAACTGGCCGGCGGGCGGGTTAGCCGGCAGGTATTAAGGATGGATGGAGAGGTCGTGTGTCAGAGAACGGTCATGGGACCCGGTGGTTGTTCCCGCCTAGTGCTGATTGATAACAGGAATGCGACGAAAAGGGCGACAACAAGTGCTACATAGATGCGGACGAGAATCTCGAAGTGGGTGAGGTGAGATGGATCAAGTCGAGGGATGCCGGGGATTACATGAGGTGCAGCAGCGAGGCGGGTCCGGGAAAGCCCTGGTGAGTGGAGGGCCTCAAACCGTTGCGGCACATTTCGCACACAACCGGGAGGTGCAGGGCGCTGAAGGCGAGTCGAAACCAGGCTGATAAGAAGCGGACCAAGCGATAAGCTGAACCGGGTGCGGTGAGAAAGGCGCGAACCTCGAAAAATCAGCACCGGTGTTCCGTCAATTGGCAGCATCGTATGTATCCAGGCGAGAGAAACAAAACAATCATCAACGAAAATAGAGAATGGAGAGAAAGGCGCTGCAGTAGGGAGGGCGGTGCGCATCACCCCCTCTTTCTCAACAAAACAGAAAAAACTCTTTTCTCGTAATCCGAAAACGCCGAGCTCCCGTCCGTCGTTCTTGGTCGTAAGAAATCGTCAAGCCCCTTCGCGTCGCCCTGCCATTAGGGAACATCACCAAGTCAGTCGTGTGTGAGGTGTCCAGCAGACGTGGGCGACGGGCCTCTTTAAATAATGCCTCGCGCGCTTTTGCTGCGGCTCACCTGCCGTTAAGTGGCACACCTCCGGGCGCGCCAGACCCCTAAGTGCAGGTGCTCCAGCGGTGGCACAGCGGTGCGACGGGTTGCGACGGGTTGCCCCCAGCGGGCCCAGCGGTGTGCGGCGGGGCCACGCCGCCGATACCGTACACGCACCGCTACTTGGTGACCCATAAGTGTCGGAGGGCCCACTGATGTTCCCCTAAGTGCAGGTCTACCCGCGGTGGGGATGTTCGGGGGTGGAGGGTGAGGGAGGTTCAGGGGTCCGCAGCCTGGAACACGCTGGTGTCATTGCCGTCGCCGTCGCCGTCGCCGGGTCTTGTCTCGCTCCTCTCACGAATTTGCGTTCCTGCGCTGTCCGGTAGCGTCACGTTCCTCGCCGACGGCCAAGCCTGCAGAACCGGTAAGTACCTTTCCGGCGTGCCGACTGCGGCGAGATACCTTACCTTACATGAGGGGCACAATACCTCATCTAAGGTACCTAAGTAGGTGGAAGGCACCCCGCCATGGAACTCACCTCAAGACTCAATGGAAATGATGGAAGGTACCTTGCCTTACACACCTCAGCATAGCTTCTGTCCTGCCACTTGCGTGCGTCCCACCTTCTCTCTTTCCCCCCGTACCCGTCCACGTCCTTCTCGTCAGGAATGCGCCCGAATGCGACGGATCGAGGGGCCCGGCTCTTCCTCCCGACTTCCTTCCTGCCAGGACTAGGCGGGCTAGCCCTCCGGTCATGGTCATGGATGACCATGCTTCGCGGTCCGTAGCCCTTGGAGTCGCCGGTGACGGAAAGGCTTTAAACAGACTTTGATCGCCCACCCTCTACTGATTCAAGACTCGGTCCTCTCCTTCTCATACCTCTTCTATCTGTTTCGCTCGCCAGCTTCCACCCTCTCCTTCTCCTCTTCCTCCCCGTCTCCCTTTTATCCTATTCTCCGTCACATCTCTTCCATCTTGGTCAGAGTCGACATCGTCAGCCTCAACTCTCTTCCACCACCAACCCACTCCCATCTCCCAACAGACACACAGCTCGCACCCGCTGCGCATCGCAATCATGGTTTTGAACACGTCAATGGTCAAGTCCAAGTTCCTCAGCAACCCCGAGGATCTCGGCGTCGTTGCTGTTGGCTTCTCTGGCGGACAGGTAAGCATCACCAACGTCTTGTGCCCTCGCCCGCCCTGCCCAGCTCTTCCCTTTGAGGCCACGAAGCTGATCGCGCGCCCGCCCGCAGTGCAAGAAAGGCGTCGATGCCGCCCCCAAAGCCCTCATCGAATCCGGCTTGCTCACCCAGCTCCGCGACGAGCTAGGCTACAAGCTCCATGGCGACGATGAGGTGCACCTCTACACCGACCTCGTGCCTGCCGACGACCCGCCCTTCCGCAACATGAAGAACCCCAAGGCCGTGTCATCCGTGACGGAGCGCATCGCCGACCAGGTCTACCAGCAGTCTCGCCTCGGCCGCTTGACCCTGACCCTCGGCGGCGACCACAGCATCGCCATCGGCACCATTGCCGGCTCCGCAAAGGCCACCCGCGAGAGACTCGGTCGTGAGATCGCCGTCATTTGGGTCGATGCCCACGCCGACATCAACACCCCCGAGACGAGTGACAGCGGCAACATCCACGGCATGCCCGTGGCTTTTGTCACGGGGCTGGCCAAGGAGTCCAGGCCCGAATACTTTGGCTGGCTCAAGGATGAGCACTTGCTGAGCATCAAGAAGCTAGTTTACATTGGTCTGCGGGACGTCGATGCCGGCGAGAAGAAGATTCTACGGGAGAATGGCATCAAGGCCTTTAGCATGTTTGACATTGATAGGTATGTCGCCCTGCATTTTCCCCCACCCAAGTCTTATTTGGCCGTGCTGGAATGCAGCCTCTTGTCTGTCTACTTTTCGTTTTCTTACTAATCTTGGCCCCTTTCAGATACGGCATTGGACGCGTCATGGAGATGGCGTTGGCGCACATTGGCAACGATACCCCGATTCACTTATCATTTGACGTCGACGCACTCGACCCCATGTGGGCGCCGTCAACGGGCACGCCGGTCCGCGGCGGTCTCACTCTGAGAGAAGGCGACTATATCTGCGAGTGTGTGCATGAGACGGGCAGTCTCGTAGCGCTGGACCTTGTTGAGGTCAACCCGTCGCTTGCGGCCGAGCAGGAGGGCGCGGCGTCCGAGACGGTACGGGCGGGCTGTTCGCTTGTGCGATGCGCTCTGGGGGAGTCGTTGCTTTGAGTTGTTTGTGTGTGTGCGTGGCAGTGGAAAAAAAAGAAGATGAATCGAGGAAGAAGGATTTCTCAACTTGAAGACGTTGCAGATGGTGAACGGCAAGCGCTACCTTTTGGCGCGTACAGAGACAAACACAAGAAGAAACAGAGGGCGGAGGCGAGATCGAATCAGTGCATAGCCCGGGACAGCATCGAATAGCCGGGGAAAGATAGATGGAGTTAGTCAAAGGCTTGAGGTAGACAGATGCCGACTTGTGGACTTGATTGATATCTGCTTATCATGATTAATACCAACCAGCAATATTCTTAAAAAAAACGTTTCCCCTGTCACCCCCCCCCCACCCCCCCCCTTCCCCCCATTTTTGACCGATGCTCGTATCATGTAGATCGTTCACGTGGCTCAATTTTGAGGCTGCCATGACAAGTGAGACTGGTCCGATAGGCATTGACACGTGTTGAAGCAGCGGTGACGGGAATCGGCGGCGGCTCGGGTGCGTCTCGGCAGTGGGGGGATATGCGGGCCTCGGAGGGCCGGCGCGGGTGCCTGATAGCTGCGGGAGAACCCTACTCTACAGCTCACCGATGCGTCGGGTTCCATTTCGGGTACTCTAAGTTTTCCGCCCAGCCATCGCCATTTTCGTACCAGAATGTGGATGAGAGATGGAAGGAAGCTGGTTCGCCCAGCCACCTTGCAACGAAACTCTATTGGGGAGGAGTTGGATCGGGGTCGCAATCAGGAATGGTTTATTTTTCATTCGGTACCTAACAAGAGTGCTGATCACAATCGCACCTTTTTGGGCTGCATTCTTCCCGACGTTCACCTGCTGTGTACCTTCCATTGGTGGCACACGAGCCCGGCCATTCGGGTCGAATCTCACTTACCTCTTTCGAGGCTTGGGGTGCTCCCGAGTCTGCAACAAAGACGAGTTCTCGAATCATTGCCCTTTCGAATAGACAACACACCCCACAGGTTAGGCACACCTCGGCGGCAGACTTCCCACGTTTGCCTTTCAATTTGTGCCTCTTGACGTGGCACCCTCCAGAACAGCCGCCGCTTCAGCGCCGGCCCAGCAATCCACCCAATCGTCGCAACAAGGCGTCAGGTCGAGTCCGAGGCCCATCCAATACTTTCAGTAACGCCCATCTCATCCCGGTCCCATTCCGGTCCAGCTGCCGCCCCTGCCGCGCTGACAGGACGAACTAATACTCGTTACCCAAAGAGACGAAATAACCCTTCTTTCACCTTCAACACAGCCAAGTCGACTGATCAAATCGCGCTGCGCAACATTGTACCTTACACCAGGAGGTGAGGTGGTCCCTAGATAGCGTCATTCCGGTCCCTCCAGTTGGCTCGACCAGACAAAGTGCGCCCAACCCCGGAGACCTCCAGCAGCTAGCGCCAACCGTGTGCACTGTGGCACCGAGGTCGCGACAGGCGCACGCACATTGGCGATAGCTTCCTGCCCAGCCTTGCCCAACAACAACCCAGCCCTACTCACGGTTACCCATTGCGCACCACCTCTCTGCCTTGCTCCCGCCGCCCAACCAATTGCCAAAGTTATCTTGGGACTGAGACGTGTCCGTTGGTTCAAAGACACGACCGATTAAATACCAACATTGGAGAGACAAAGGTCGCTCGCGACACACGATTTACAGCTGCTACGATTCCCGATCACGAACTGAACCAACCTCCCAGCGCCTGATCCGAGCTCAAGGGACACTCACTACGACACGCGAGAGTACCCTCATCAGCCACATCAACAAACCGAGCTGTCAACAGCAAATACAAGCACAATGGTTGCATCGACAGTGACGGGCAGCTCCCTCTACGAGAGGCGGGTCGTCGAGCGCGTCCACCGCTACCAGTGGCCCGGTGTCCAGCTCAACCTCTGGATTCTCATCATGCTCGTGGCCGCCTGCCTCATTATCGGCGTCTTTGCGTCTTTTATCGAGACCCAGCAGCAGCTACTTCTGCCGATACCCTGGTGTGTAACCCCCACTGCCCGTCTTCATCTTCCGGCATGTTCAAGGATGCGCATCACGAAAAGACAGGCAACGCTAGGACGAGAAAAGGCCTCGAGTTCAAATAATTAGGGGAGAAAACCAGACGAAGAAAAATGCTAACACGATGACTCTTTTCCCCCCGCGTGCAGGTACTTCCCCTATTATATCACCGTCGCATCCCTCGTCATCCTTTTCATCGGCCTCCTCCTCTGGCTCGTCTTCCAGCGCCGCCTCCTCCCGGCCATTGTCATGATTGGCGCCTTCATCCTCTTTATATTGTGGTTCGTCGGCCTCGTCGTCGTGAGCATCCAGCTCTGGGGACCCGACGGGTCCGTCTCGAGCAACTGCAACCTCGCGGTATTCAACCGGAGCCCGACAGGGCAGAGCCTGGATACCCTCGCGTGGCTAGAGCAGAGAAGCATATGTGCGTCTTCCCCATTTTTCTTTAAATGACGAGGTTTTGTTTTATTTTCGTTTTTTTTACCCTCGGCGACCAGGAATGCTGATATCTGGGGTCCGGTGTAGGCCAAGCATGGCAGGCGGTGTTTTCGTTTGCGCTCGTCGGGGCTATCTTCCTGCTTTGGATCATGGTCATGGCCTACCAAGTATTTGCCAACTCATGATGCAGCCGCGCTGAAGTATGCTTGGAGACTTTCAAGCCGCGACGTACTTGCCTTGACCATGTTCTGTCTCTAGAGGAACATTGCAAACCTCAACGCTTTTGGACATTTTTTTCCCTTGTCATATTCCGACAAATTTTGAGATATTCCGACATATACACACTACCTTAGGATACACAGCCTCGACCGGCCTATGGCCTTGCGCGGTACTTACACCGATTGAGCAGCCAGAGACTGATTAGCGAGCACGCGCATGATTTGATGGATTGAATGTCCAGGGCTACGGTGGGGGGTCCTCTTCTTTCTACTGCCTCTGGGAGACTGCACGTGTAGGCGTTTTGGATTTCCTGCGAGTTTTTCGCGGTAGCTATTTGTTGCTGGGTAAGCGGCAAGACCCCGTGGCGGGCATTGGAAGACGAGTGATGATGAGTGAATATGTGATGCTTTTATTTAATGTATGAAGATGATGGAGCGACACATTGTGAGAGCTAAAGAATGAAAGTTGGATAAATTATCAGCCGTGCATTTTGCAGTGTCTGGACTGCTCTCCACCAAGGCATCTTCCGTACTCGGGCTGACTTTGGCATGGTTTACGGAGGCCTCCTCTCTCTGGCCGGTGGCTTTGGGGATGTGGCTCAGCTCCCGCAATAAAAGTAACATATGATTTTGGCAGAAAGCTAGGCACCTGGTGCTTCACAAACATCGGATGGGGGTTTACGCGCTGGAACCCCAATCTCGGCGTCCTGTCTTGCCAAAAGCCTCTTTTGCGTTCGTAGCGGAAGTGACCGCCGTCACGCATGAACCGTTCCCGTCATCCGAGAGTAGAAAGTAGCCCAGCGTAGAAAGCATTTCATCACCGTGATCGTCGTCACATGTTTGTTTGACGAAGTGAGTATCCATGTACCTCATCCGTCCGACCAATGTTGGTCGATCTGAGGTGACGTAGCCGTAGCCTGGAAATACGTACACTCACACAGCTTGACCCTTGAGGGAGTTCTTCGTACCTACCCACCCACCCACGTGCCCTCGCACGGTGGGTTGTCGTTCAGCCAGGTAGGGATGTCAGAGATGGTGGAGCTGTGCATGCGCCGCACCCGCGCAATTTAGGTCGACTGCGTTCATGTCCTGTCGACAGTGTGGTGCTGAGGTTTGGCGAGCTGGAGGGCTAGATTGCTCTGGGTCTACGTCAATCGATAAATATGTCTTTGGTATTTGCCTGCCCGGTTCGATTTCAGCCTGCCAAGCATCTTGGATTGGCGTTCTTTCGGGGAATAATGGCACGAGTGGGTGAGGACCCTGAAATTCCTTGGCAAATAGGTTGTGTGCCTATCTCTATCTCTCTCTAGTCATGCTTGTTGGCATCCTTGGGTTCCAGCTGAGGTTAGCCAAGATGTTGCACGGCTCTCGTCAGGTACCAGACCGTCCAGAAGTAATAGCGGGAGGCGACAAGACAAGATCCAAGACCAGGTTTCTCGAGAATGAAGCTTGTTTTCTGCGTGTGGGGTGGAATTGTATCTGTCTCGGCTTTCTGGCTTTCTGCAGCAAAATCGGCTGGGACTGCGTCGTCAAGTGGAGCGGGATTGAAGGAACAGAGCGGTAATTATGGGTAGGCGCTTGGTCGACTGGGTATCCGTACAGCGCCGGCCTGGAGCCCAGCAGATGAATCATGATGGTCATGTTGGATTGGTGACTTTCTTTGATCTGGTGGTGGACTGGGAAGTACCGGGGGATGACGTAGGTACTCTTTTTTGGTTCTATGGCGCAGGTCCGAAACTGGGAATTTGCGGACTTGGGGGCGAGGAGAGGAGGATTAGGTCATGGCGGGAAGGTCTGGCGGGGGGTGAAGCGGGGGAGGGGCCCTTCCTCCTGGTGTCACCCGGTCGTGGGTTACCTCTGGCGCTTGGAGATGGGCAGGCTTGGCTGACCTGGTAGAAGGCGAGATGTATATAAGACGTAGGCATTCCTCGCTTTTCAAATGCCAGAGTACCTATCAACCTTCGAGCCATCCCAATAACAAACAATCCACGCAGACATAATCAGCGAAATCACCCAACAACTACAAGCCTTCAAAATGGACAAGCTCAAGAACCTCGCCTCCGGAAGCACAGGCAACAACACCGCCGCCGCCCCCGGCCAGCAGAAGCAGGATCCTGTCGATAAGAGTGCGTACAAACGACCTACCAATCATGATTGAAATACTGACATAGTGCAGTTTTCGACATCGGCTCCAAGAAGGCTGGCCACGACTTCTCCCCCAGCACAGACGAGAAGATCACCGATGCCGGTCGAGGAATCTACGAAAAGGTGACCGGAAAGAAGGTCAACCCCAAGATCTCCAACTAAATGTACAACACCACCATTTTTACGGCTATGACTTTTTCACGAAATCAGGACGGGAATATTAGCGGCGATGCGATCGTAGTATCCATACAATTTTAATCAACCATTTCATCGACCTTATGTCAATACCCTCGTGTGAACATGACCCAATAGACCGTCGTATACTTTACTTGCGGCGACTTTAGCTGCAAAGACGCACTCGCCTCGGAGATGTATTAAGCTGTCGTCCACTTCGCTGTCGTGCGAACGTGCTGCAAAGCTCTACAGCCTGTTGGCATGCTGTTGTGACTAAGCGTACCTGCAAGCGAATACGCAAATGTGTAGGTACCTGGTTGCAACGACAGCTAAGCATTACAGATGCATCTGGCTGGATCGCGGTCTCGAAGCATGATGTGTCCAGCGCGATGATGATCCGTCAACGCGACAGCTAGTGACGATAGGTTCAAGTGGAATATCAAAAGAGCCAGCATGAATTGGTAGATGAATGGCTGTTTTTGGAGAGTCTGTCCAAATGTTCACCACAAGTCATTTCTCCAAGGCCTTGATGATGATGATAATAGATATCCCAAAAAGATGGAAACGACGGGCTATTGCTTGCAGCACTCATGCTAAGCTCTCAGTAACGTATCACGGATCAATTCCCATCACTTGCATGCATGATAAGAATCGAGATAAGGGACACCAGCACCCTAGGAATGTCCAGATGCTAGGCCGGGATCCGGGGATCATGGCAAAAAAGTGGTTTGTCGGAATTGAGAGACTAATGAAACGTGGCATACGAAATAAGGCGCATCATTGGCGGACGTGTCGACGCGACAGAGGACCGGCGCAGTGTTTGAGTTTGGGCCGATGGACGGGGGAAGGGGAAAACTTCTCTTTGGCATGGTGGATGACAGGGAGCCTGGACATGCGGGGCACTACCTTAGGGCAGAAGGATGAGGTGGTAAAGAAGATGGTGGTGCCCCTATTACTTGCATCGTCTCTAGCATTGGTCGAGCAGTATACACCACGCCGGGCAAAAACGCGAGGCCCAGATGTCCAGATGGAGAAGAAAAGCATACGTAGTAGGAAGGGTTAGCGGACGAGGTATCCGTAGTGGACCCCGCTCGACCACTGGCGCGCAACGCGCCCCTTCGCGGCAGAAGCGCACATTAGGGGAACTCTCGACACCTTCATCAGCTGGCAATCCATTCCTTCGTCGCGGACTCTTCCATCTGCAGTTGATATTTATGTTTCAAGATGCATTCATGAGTTCCATTTTCAAAGCTGACCGGGACATTATTCCGTATCCTACGTGGATAGAGGGTCGCTGCAGACGCCATCCACTTCTACAGTCTCAGTTCGGCTGGGTATCACAGCAACGACACAGGAAACAGGGGTCGTCCATGGTGATCCGAAGGGGGGTGGTCTGGGCGTTTTCGAGATCCATATCCCTTAGGTAAGCACGTGAGCTGGTACTTCAGGTACGAACACACCGGAGTCGCTTCCGGCGGCGATTTGTGATTGAACAGTCGTTGACAGGAGGAATAAACATTTTCAAAAGAGACTTAAAAAAGAGAAAAGAAAATAAAAAGCAACTGCCAGGCCAGAGACTCAAACTGGAGCTCGGTGTTGTGAGTCGTGAGCCTCTATTGTGTTCCTTACCTAAGGCACCTCCTCAGAGACCTCGGACAGATGCATTTGAGAGGGACCGAGCGCGCCGCCGTGCCTGGCCCCCCCAATTAGACTGCAGTTTTCTGTTTGTGTTGCATTTTCGCGGATCAACAAGCCATCCTTCGTTTTCCAGCTCCTCTTCTGGAGGTGCATGGACAGTGCCTTAGGTACGGATACAATATCTCGTACCCTACCTTACCTACCTTACCTTACTGCTTACGTGCTTACCTTACCTTCCCGGCCTGCATCCAGGCACAGCACATCATTCCCCTTAGCCTCACCCGATACAAACCCGATACGGACATCTTAGCGTCGTGCCCACCTCTTCCTTCTCTTCCAAAGCCAAGGTAAGGTACCGACCAACCTTGCTTGCTGGCCCAAGGTCGCCAGGGCAGTTGTCCAAGCGGTCGAAAGAAGGGCGGAAGGAACACCCCTAGGTACGTGCTTTCTTCTCTGCAGCGTTCATGATACATCCACGTCTGCGTCCACAACTCCACGCCCACCGCCCGCCCACGCACTTGTTCTGTGCGACACGTCGACGTCGCCTTCGTTGCTGCTGCTCCATCCTAATACCACCACAGACTCCCGACTGACGAGGGAAGAAAAGTCTGACACTTCGTAGCTACTTTGCTTTTTGTTGTCTGTGCCGTCCGTCTATTCTCACCGACCATCAATCGCAAATATATCCTCGCCTGCAACATCTTCCAGCGCCCGCCATTCCCCGGCTCGAGCCCTCTCCCGAAACGGCCAATCCTCCCCTCGAGGACCGACGACGGGCGAGACAAAGAAAAACCACATCCTCAACCAGCCGAATGCATCCCCCGAACCGCACAGCCACTTCCCGCCATGGAACATGATGAGACCCGGCCCTCGAGCCGTACTAACCAACCCGACGACTCCCGCCCTACTACTGCCCGCCGGATAGACGATTATGATGATACCTCGCGGCTCCATCATTCAGAAAACGCTGCCGCTGACGGCTCGCAAAACACACCAACCAAGACCTCTCACGACGGACATGATCACGACCACGAATCAGGCCGCAGCACCCCGTCCAACAGCCGCACCCATCCCGAACCCCCAAACGAATCCATGCTCCCTCCCCCGCGACCCCAGACCTCCGCCGCCCCGGACACCAGCTTCGTCGAGGGTCCCACCTTTGACGACTCCTTCCATGGCGATTCTTTGGCCGAGTCTGCTGTCCGCGCCCATCTTCAGGACGTCGAATCAAGCTTCGTCTCTCGAGTCTCCCCCATTCCCACAATAACTCACGAGGGCACCGACGACACCTACCTCTTCGATGGCGCAGCCGCTTCTGCAAGATCCCCTGCCCCAGCCAGACAACCCCCTGCGAGTCCCAGCCCCAGTCCAAGACCGAGACCCGAAGCGATCCCCGAAGAAAAATCGGCCATCAGCGACCTTCCCGAACTGCGGCCTCAAGACTCGGCCTCTGCCGACGTCTCCAACACAACATCTGCTCTGGAAAATATGTCTTCGTCACCCGCCGCCGCCGCCGCTGCGCGAACAATCTCCAGAGCGATTTCCAGCGCCAGCAACCGGACCGACAAGCAGTCACAGGGACCCGTCCCGGGCGACGACACGGACGAGGAACGGTCGCTGTCTCGCGCAGAGTCTGTAGCCGAATCGGTATCCACGACCCTCCGAAGCAAGCGCTCTGACGGGAGCCTTCACGGGGGCTCGGTGGATGCCGGCAGCACACCCGGCCATTCTCTCCGCTATGGCACGCGGCCTAAGTATCTGCGCAGCCGGGGCGCCAGCCAGCGATCCTCCGTCTCCTCTTTCATCACCAACCCCGATACCCACGATGAGCTTGAGAGCGAAGGCACCGCCAATTTGGGCGCCGATTTTGCCCTGCAATCTGGTGGTGCAGCCGGCACGCTAAGCCTACCCCGTAGCCTAAGCAGCATCCTGTCGCGCTCCGTGAGCATTGGCAGCATGGTCTCGGGTATGGACGACCCCGAATCACTCCCAAGCCAACTCGAGACCCTCGCAGAAGACAACAACAGGTTCTCGTCGCGCCGTCCAGCCCGAAATGAAGACCTACTGGCCACCCCGAAACCTTCCAAAGAGAATCTGACCGCACCCACCGATACCGTCATTGCCCGGCATGTTAGAAATGTGCATGTCCCTGAGTCGCTGGCCATGGAGTACAGGACCAAGAGCGGCTTCGTGACGCCCCGTAAACCCTCGGACATGCCGCTTGGCGCCTCCACGAGATCGGGTAAGAATCTGACGCTCAAGGAGCAGAGCAGCACGATTGAGCGCCTTTCCAAAGAGAATTTCGATCTGAAGCTCAAGGTCATGTTCCTTAGCGATCGCCTTGACAAGCTATCCGAAGAGGGTGTTAAGGAGATGATCTCGGAGAACGTGGAGCTCAAGACGAGCCTCGCCGTCATCCAGCGTGACAACAAGGCATTACGAAGGCGGGTCAAGGAATTGGAGAAGCAGTTGAAGGACGATCAGGATCGCCCCGGAACGGCCAAAAGTGTCGGCTCATCAAACGACAGCTCCTCCGACCAGGATGCCCAGGAACGCGAGGAAGAGTTGATATACTTACGCGAGCGCGTCGAAGAATACGTCACCGAGATTGAGAGGCTTCGTAATGATAGCATGGCAAAGGAAGCAGAAAAGCGCAAGCTCAGTGAGGTGGTCAGATCACTAGGCGAGAGGACAAGCGGCAATCTCGGGAGTCAGGAAGAGGCGGATGTATGGAAGGACCTGCTTGAGCAGGAAACAGCCCGACGCGAGCAGTCTGACGAAGATAACCGCAAGCTACGCGACGAAATCTTCCGCATGAAACAGGAAGCGAGTGGCGGCCACGGTGGCATGCACCACACCACCAACATTTACAACATCACGAAGAAGCATAGACAGGTCTCTCCGAGCCGCCCTGTGTCTGGTCTATCAGGCGATCTCGAGACCAATGGCGGCTTTAGTGCCGCGAGTACGTTGGTCGACGAGCTGCGGAGAGAGAGTGAGCAATTGCGACACGAAAACGCCGAATTGAGACGCGAGGTTGGAGCGCAGACATCCATGCTGACGTCGAGGAATCGTGAAAAGGAGCGGTTATACCAAGAGATTGAGGATCTAAAGATGGCACAGCGGCGAGGAGGACCGGCACCCTCAACGGTCGACTCCCTTCTTGAGCGTTCAGCATCCCGCGCCGGTGCCCACCACCGGTCCATGTCACGGGTGAGTGCCGGTAGGACGCAAATGACAGATATAGACGAATTGGAGCGCGAGGAGCTGGAGAACAAGCTCGCCGAAACGCGCGACAAGATCAGCGAGATCAAATTACAGAACCAAGAGCTCCAACGTGAGCTTGAGGGATGTATGGCAGATTTTGAGACCGCAGTCGAAGGTAAGAGCCAGGCTGAGGAAATTGCCGTCACACTCCAGGAAGATCTCGACAATGCCATGAACGACCTCGTGGCTTTGCAGGCTGAGAGGGACGAAGCACTCAGGGAGCAGGCAGATATGGAGACAGAATTCGAGTCGCTACGGAAAGAAGCCCAGGAGGAAATTGATGCGCTGGAGGGCGAGGCCGATCAACGAAGCGACGAGATACAGAGGCTACAGCTTGAGCTCAATGACCGTACAGAGAATTTCGATGCACTGCAGGAGGAGATGCGCAAGATGAGCGAGGCGTTGGTGGGATTGGAGGACGAACAAGCAGCCAAGATTCGCAGGATTAAGCAGCTAGAGCAAGAACTCGCAGACGCCAATAAGGAATCAGAGGAGCTCGAGTCCAAGCTGCTCGAGTCCAACGACAAGGCACAGCGGCTTAGCGTGCAGCAAGAATCTAGCCAGGGCGAGATTGCCTTCCTACGCGAAGAGCAAGAGGGCGACAAGATCCGCATCGGCGACCTCGAGGCAGCCCTTGCGAATACCGAACAGAGCTTACGCGATGAGCGTGACAGGATCAAGGAGTTGGAGCAGCGTCTCGTCACTGAGCGTCGCCAGCACGAGATGGTCTCCAATCAGGAGAAGGAGGAGGTGACGCAGTTTGTCAACGAGCTCAACCGCGAGATGTCGGCAGCCAAAGATGAGGCCCGGAGGTTACGTAAGAGTCTCACCTCACGCGAAGTCGAGGCGACCGAATGGAAGGAGAGGCTTATGGAGCTGGAGAACAATCTCAGAGAGGCACTGGGCGATCTTAACGGGACACGATCCAGCCTTCTCAAGGTGAGCAAGCTAATTGCCTCCAAACGTACCACATGCACTAACAAAAGCAGTCGATTGCCAAGCTCCAGCGCGAGCTCGAGAACACTGTTCGCGAGTTGGACACCACCAAGGCATCGCTCGTTGAAAAGGATCGCATCATTAAGCAGCGCGACGCCCTGCTTGAATCCCACGGCTTGGAATCTCGCAAGCTTGGAGGAGAGCTCGAGAAGGAGAGACAGGCGCATCGGACGACGAAGAACCAGTTTGAGACATTCCAAAAGACGCACCTGCATGTGTCGAGGACCGTCAGCACCCAGGATTTGCGCATCACGGAGCTTGAGTCATCACGGACCCAGGACAAGAAGAAGATTTCGCATCTCGAAGCAACCTTCCGAGATCAGCTCACTGAGCGCAACAACTTGCTGCTTGTGCTGTGGACACGACTCTCGGCCCTCTGTGGCACTGACTGGGCGCACGACAACAGCCTCATCAATGGGCGCGCGTTGCCTTCCTTGGAGGCTGTGGCTACGATGCTGCCTGGATTCAGTAAAAACTTGCTCGGCGCCATCAAGATGATTGAGACCATGGTGGGCGGCTTCTCGTCTCGCGTCAAGGGCGTAGAACGGGACTTGTGGCGCGAGTACCAAAGCCTCGAGAACAACCTCGAGATCCGGACTAAGAAGCTGGAGCGGCTGGAGACGATTGTGCGCAACAGCGTAGCGTCCGGGAGCCTCGGGTCTTACGAGCAGGCCAGAATGGAGCGCCTCGAGGATGCCTACCGCCAACTCAAGGTTGAGAATGCGACATTGCGAACCGCTCAGGACGTCAGGAGTCGGGCTGCCTATTCAGCAACCAACGACCCCAGCGCGGTCATCACTGAACCTGGCAGCGGAAGCCCGTCACCGTCCATCCCCACGGGTCCTCGAGAGCGGGAGAGGAGGCCTCGCAAGGGCGAGAGAACATCCACAATGACGCGTAGCGTTTCCAGTCACACCGTGACAACGCCTGGGTCCACCAATCACAACCCGTTCGAAGCCACGTTGGCGGAGAGAGACCCAGCAGACAACCGATGGATCTTCAAGCTGCGCGACCTCGAGAACAAGCTCAAGGCTGAGCGCGAAGGCCGCTCGCAGGACCGTAATGCGGCAAGGCAGCGGCTGGGTGGTCTCGAGACGGAGAACCGCGATTTGAGGACGGAGGTCAACCGCATACGGAGGGCAAACGGACAGATGGGGGACAGCTGAAGAAGCAAGAGCGAATGAGAGAGTGTGTCCCATATTTTCATTTGTATTATTCCACCTTTTGTAACAACACCAAAGCCGGAGTGGGTGGGCAAACGTCTCATTTGTCTTTCATTCTATTTCTTTTTTCAGCATTTGTAACGTCAGCGACGAACGGCCTTTGCTGGGGATCTGGAGGAGTTTTGCGGATTGGCCGCCTTTTGGGTATGATAGTCTAATACCAAAGCCTCTGTCTGGCGTTGTTTAGCCGCCTGCCAGGAAACAGATGACGGCCCCCCCTTGAATCGCCTCGTGTCGAAATGTGTCGAGCTGCAAGGTGTCGTGTGGCTGACGTTCCGTCTTTTAAGCTGCGAGCCTTACTGAGGAGCAAGAAGGTCAATGTCGGGGCCCATTTTTTTGCTAGAGCGGAACCGGACTCGGGCGCAGGTGAAGGCGGAGGGAACCCCGCTGAGTCCTTCGGAAAGGGGAAAACCCAGGCTGGGTGCGGCGGTGCCACACGCCACACGCTTGGCCTTCCACTTACCCCAAATGCGCATTGCTATTCGGGGATGGGTCACACTGAGAGCCCAAGGGGATGATGCATGTCATCATGCTACTGACCGGGGCGGGGCAAGCGGGGCCCCGCAGTGATCTTGCAGGTTGGGGCCGCCCGCCTCAACTACGGCAGTCTGAGTGAGTTGCTTATGGATGTGAGTATGACGGTCCGTCGGCGTTGCCAACTTGAGAAGGCCGACGACGTTGCTAGCGATAAGATGTGTATTGGGAGGGCTTCTGGTTTGGTATAAGAGGCCAATGGAACCTGCTTCTGTCGATGAACCTCGAGCCCATGATCATTAGCGAGGTTGAACAGGTTCGACATTTTACGAATCCGGCCTTGATTTGTTTGGATTGGAGTTCCGAGCAATTTCTATTTCATTGATTTCGGCCTCCCTTCCCAACGGCTTGAGGAATCCTTTTACACGACAGTGGATACTACATGTAGGATTTACCGATCCTTACGACAACCTTTACTCGATATTCATATGTGATACGCACTCATCTGTACACTAATAGGCTGTCAAAATGTCCCGTCTCCTTGGCCTCTCCCGAGGCAGAAAACCTGCCCTCCTCTGCTTCTGCTTCTCATCATCTCAAAGCCGTACCGTGATGATGGGCGCCGCAGCACCCAAGAAAGAAGGCGACATCTCCTCCATCTTCGTCTCCCTTTCTGGCACCGCCCGCGAAGCACTCCCGGACCGCTTCCGTGCGTTGAAGAAGGACCTGGTTGCGGGCCACGAGGAAGCCGTCGTCGCGTCTTGGGGCCGGCTTCTGCGTGCCTTGCGGGAGGAAAACGAGGTGGTCCGGGAAAGGGGGCCTGCCATCATCCCGAGTGTCGAGTTCAAGGACTTGGAGGGCGACGTAGAGAGACTAAAGGGCGAGATTCGCAAGCGGGGTGCCGCTGTTGTGCGTGGTGTCGTTGATGAGAAGGAGGCCAGGGGGTATAAAGAAGAGGTTGAGGAATATGTGAGGAAGAACCCGTCAACAAAAGGTGTGTTCGCTGTGGCCCTGTCCTCCTCTTGCCCTTGAAGGGAACGTCCATAACTGACCAACACTTAATGAAAGCTTTCCCAGCGGATAACCCCCAAGTCTACGAGATGTACTGGTCCCTCCCGCAGCTTAAAGCCCGCTCCCACCCCAACATGCTCAAAGTCCAGTCGATCCTCATGCGCTCCCTCTGGAACAAGTCCCCCTCGGCCGCCATCTCCCTCCAGCCCCTGACGTACGCCGACCGCCTTCGCATCCGCCAGCCCGGCGACGCGACGTTCGCCCTCGGCCCACATATTGACGGCGGGTCCGTAGAGAGGTGGGAGCGCGAAGGGTATGGCAAGACCGGCACCTACGACGCCGTCTTCCGGGGCGACTGGGAGGGGTACGACCCGTGGGACGTCAGCGCCCGCGTCGAGGCCGTGCAGGATTTGTACAACGGCGCCGGCGCCTGCAGCATGTTCCGCATGTTCCAGGGGTGGCTGAGCTTGAGCTCCTGCGGCCCGGGGGAGGGGACCTTGTTGGTGAACCCGCTCGTGCAGCTCTCGACTGCCTATTTCCTCCTGCGACCCTTTTTCCAGCCGCTGAAGGAGGTCTCTGCGAGTGAGGACGGCGCAGGAGGGGAGGAGTTCTTGCGAGAGGAAAACTGGGCGTTTACGGGTGGCGAGGCGATGAGGAGCGAGTTGCAAGGTGCGACGCCGGGACACGGACAGGAGCTTAGTGAGGCCCTGCATCCGCACTTGCAGCTTGGCGCGACCATGGTTCACGTTCCGCGGATCAAGCCGGGCGACTTTGTCGTGTGGCACGCGGATCAGATCCACGCGGTCGACAAGGTCCACCAGGGCCGAGGGGATTCGAGCGTCATATATATACCCGTGTGTCCGGTGACGGATCTGAATGTCGCTTACTTGGCGAGGCAGAGAGATGCGTTCCTCGAGGGCCTGCCCGGGCCGGATTTCCCTGGTGGAAAGGGGGAGAGCGAGCACGTTGGCAGGCCTGGGGAAGATGCTATTCGGGGGGTGGAGGCGAGGCGGGCGATGGGGCTTGAGAAGCTGGTTGGCGCTGGGGATGGGCCTGGAGAGAGGGATCTGATTGGGAGGGCGAACAAAGTCCTGTTTTTCTGATTCCAAAGGATATGAAGGGGTTGTGTGTGTGTATCTACGGTGTGGGAAGTATCAGCTCAGGACTTGGACAAAGGGCAATTTGCAAGCACATGATCAATTCATGGCTTTCTGTTTTTCGCCAATCTCAATGCAACCACGATAACATTTTCTTGATGAATCTATCTTGTTCTCCCTCTCCCTCTTTTTGGGCTTCGGCTTCGATGTCAAACCATAGTAATCAAGCGCGCTCTCCCGGCCAGAGAGGACGCGCATGTCTACGTCCCATATATATAGAGCGAGTAGATCAAGGCAGAGGTAAAGGTAAGGGTGTGAGAATGAGAGTGAGAGTGAGGGTGAGGGTGAGGGTGAGAGTGAGTCTGGAGGGAGGAGAAATGCTTTTCGAAGTACGACTCGAGGGCCGCAAATGCGGGGAATCATCATTGGGTCAGGTTCGAGATGTCCAACTTTCTGCAAGGCTCGTTCTAGAGTTCGGGAGTGGTGAGGGCATCGGCCTTGCTGAGGTGGCATTGCGGGTTGAGTTGTCTGGAAATGGATCGAGGTTGCGTTGGATTCACTTGAACAAGTGAGCTGACGGCTCTTAGAGAATTATGTACGGTATGACAGAATGCAATGATGAGCATATAGGAGAGAGAGAGAGGGTGAATAAGTGTGTACTAGGTCTGTGAGTGAGAAGGTGAGCGAGTGAGCGAGCGAGTGCCCTGCGCAAAGGCGCATGGAGGGGTCGAACAAGATTGCTACCTACCTCACCTTACCTTGACGCGGCGCGACAAGCGGTGGTGGGGGCGGGGCACTGGCATGCTCGAATTGGGTCCCCCCATTGGTTGACTGCCACATTTGGGAACACATAAGCTTTTTAGTCAGCACAGCTGTCCTCCGCTAAGTGAGGGGTCGTCACTACCTAGGTAGGGTAAGGTAGGCTTCACCAGCTTCGCCAGGTTCATCAGGAGATGCCCGCATAGGTAGGTAACAAGCCTGTAATTGTTTGGATAGCACATTACCGGTGCGCTCTCTAGACTCCTTGCAACATGTGTCCTTTTACTAAGACTTTGGCGAGGGCGAGGAATAACGTGGTATCGCCTCTAGGACACTTCAGGACGCACATTTTAAGACGTACTAAAGGAGTTCACACTTATCAAGTAGTCGTCAAGTTCATTCAATTCATCAACTTTTGGTATCCGTGATATGCCCTATTCCAGACTCTCCGGAGTCTCCTGGGCGCCATCCTATGACGACTTATGCTCCTCTCACCACAACGTTGCCCCCTGCCCCCTGCTCCTGAAAACATTCCATTACTCTTTACTGTTGCTGCACGAACGGAGCCATAAAGGGGGTGATGTAATCGCTCTTGCCGAGCTGAACGCCCTTGGAGCGCAGGATATCGTAGGCCGTCGAGACGTGGAAGAAGAAGTTGGGCATGCCGTAGGCCACGAGGTAGTCGCGGGCCTTGATCTGCACCTCGCCCTTGCCGTAGCCGAGGCCGAGGGGTACGAGGGCATCGGTGCGGGCCTCGAACGTCTTGGGGTCGGCGGCCTTGACGACGGTGATGGCGTGCTCGACGCGCTGGCGCAGTTCGCCGAGGCTGGCAAACTCCCTGCCCAGGGCCTCGGGCTCGGTGCCTTGGACGCGGGCGATGATCTTGATGGCGCAGTCGCTAGCGACAAAATACTGGAAGGTGAAGGGGAGCATGTCGTCCGCCAGCTTCCAGTCGAGGATCTCCTTGGCGTCAATAGACTTTTCCGCGGCGTACTCCTCGGCCTTGGCGACAATGTTGAGGAGAGAGTTGAGACCCGCGAGGAGGAGGGGGACGGTGGCGTCGTACAGAGTGTAGGCCATGTTTGCGGCTGGTGCGGTGGAAATGGTGAACGTTGATGTGGTTGCTTTTGATGATTGATGAAGGGGGTTGTTGATTTGATGCTTCAAGGCTGCCGGCATGTGGTCAAGTCGATGGGGGACTAGAAGATTTTTATGTCTTCAACCGCTTTCCAACTGGGCAGGAAGTAGGCTCTCGAAAGAGCGGTGGGAGAAGGAGCAGATCCAAGGCCCCTGACCTGGTGCAGGCAGGTGGTGATCGGGCGTTTCTGTCGAGTTCGACGAGCGGGTCTTGTTGACTAATGCGCCGGTGCGGGTTGGAGTGCTGGGCTAGGAACTCGGCACGGCAACTGTCACAGTCTGCAGCCCTCGTAAAATGAACCTTTGGCCAGTCTGCGGCCCCTTGCGTCGTGCGCGGGCACTCGCCAGGTCCATGCCGGGGCTGTTTCTCAGTCTCTCAGTCTCTCCGTAGCTAATGGTCGGCTCTTGCCTTACCTTGAGGTACTTCGGACTCGGGCCGTGCGTCTGGTCTCGCAGGCTGATCAGATCCATGAGCGAATAACGGCGTCGGGTGCCGCTTGCCGGGTAGTCACTGGAACTGAGGGTCCGCTGACAAATCCGTGTCCTCCTTGTCTCACGGGCTCGCTCTCGCCTCGCCCATCCTTCGCCGAACGAAGCTCTCGATTCGCGCCTGTGGGGGG